TTGGCCGGGCGGCCAGCTCTAGGAAGAGTCTTGGTTGTTCCTGTCACACCCTGGCTCTGGGGACTCTATATGTTGAGCCAGGGTTTGTAGATTCTATGTGTTTTTGTTCTATGGTCACAGTCTAGTATTTGTATTTCTATGTTGGCCAGAGTGGTTCCCAATCAGAGGCAACGAGTGTCAGCTGTTGCTGGTTGTCTCTGATTGGGAGCCATATTTAGACAGGCTGTGTTCCCACAGGTGTTGTGGGATCTTGTTCCTTTTGGTTTGTTTCCGTGTTGGTTGTTTAACCTAGGACGTCACGTTATTCGTTTATTGTTTTGTTCGTGTTTATCACTTTGGTTAATAAAGTATGTTCGCTCATCACGCTGCGCCTTGGTCTACTCCGTTCAACGATCGTGACAGAAGATCCCACCAGAACTGGACCAAGCAGCGGGTCCAGGAGCCATCGCCAGGGAAATCCCTAGCGGATATCCAGCGCCTCCTCGACTGGGTCAAGCCGGGTGAGGAAGAGAGGGGCTTGACGTGGAAGCAGAAGGGCGAAAGGCTGGCGAGAAGTATGGAGACCTGGTCCACGGGTAGGAGTGAAGCCCATAAAATTTTTAGGGGGGGGCTAATGTCGTGGACGACGGGGCAGCAGGAGACCGCGACAGAGCGGCCCAGCGGGTTGGCAGAGGAGGCCGCCAGGTTACGGGGGCCACTGGTCGAAGAGGGGAGGGAAGGTGTAGAGGCACGGAGAGAGGTACTGGGGTGTGTTACCAGTCCGGTCCGGCCCGTTCCAGATCCCTGCATAGGGCCAGTGGTGTGTGTCCCCAGTACGGTCCGGCCTGTTCCTGCTCCCCGCACCAGGCCAATGGTGCGCGTCTCCAGCCCGGTCCGGCCCGCTCCTGCTCCCCGCACCAAGCCTATGGTGCGTGTCGCCAGCCCGGCCCGGCCTGCTCCAGCACCCCGCACCAAGCCAATGGTGCGCGTCGCCAGGCCGGCCCGTCCTGTTCCTGCTCCCCGCACCAAGCCAATGGTGCGCGTCGCCAGCTCGGCCCGGCCTGTTCCTGCTCCCCGCACCAAGCCTATGGTGCGCGTCGCCAGCCCGGCCCAGCCTGTTCCTGCTCCCCGCACCAGGCCAATGGTGCGCGTCGCCAGCCCGGTCCGGCCCGTTCCTGCTCCCCGCACCAAGCCAATGGTGCGCGTCGCCAGCCCGGTCCGGCCCGCTCCTGCTCTCCACACCAAGCCAGTGGTGTGTGTCGTCAGTCCGGCACGGCCCGTGCCTGTTCCCCACACCAAGCCAGTGGTGTGCGTCGTCAGTCCGGCACGTCCCGTGTCTGTTCCACCGGTGCCTGGTCCGGCACCGGTCAGATGCTTCATGCCGGAGCTAGAGCAATCCGCTCCACCAGTGTGCAGTCCAGCTCCGGCCAGCGGGGCCAGACCGGACCAGGGGTACTTTGGGGGGTTGGAGAGGGAGCGGGGATCAGGCCCGGAGCCGGATCCGCCGCCTAGGCGGAGTGCCCACCCGGTCCCTCCCCTATGGTATTTGGTTGACGCAGTCGGAGTCCGCGCCTTTAGGGGGGGGTACTGTCACACCCTGGCTCTGGGGACTTTATATGTTGAGCCAGGGTGTGTAGATTCTATGTGTTTTTGTTCTATGGTCACAGTCTAGTATTTGTATTTCTATGTTGGCCAGAGTGGTTCCCAATCAGAGGCAACAAGTGTCAGCTGTTGCTGGTTGTCTCTGATTGGGAGCCATATTTAGACAGGCTGTGTTCCCACAGGTGTTGTGGGATCTTGTTCCTTTTGGTTTGTTTCCGTGTTGGCTGTTTAACCTAGGACGTCACGTTATTCGTTTATTGTTTTGTTCGTGTTTATCACTTTGGTTAATAAAGTATGTTCGCTCATCACGCTGCGCCTTGGTCTACTCCGTTCAACGATCGTGACAGTTCCAAACTTCTTCCAATTAAGAATGATGGAGGCCACTGTGTTCTTGGGGATGCTGCAGACATTTTTTGGTACCCTTCCCCAGATCTGTGCCTCGACACAATCCTGTCTTGGAGCTCTACGGACAATTCCTTTGACCTCATGGCTTGGTTTTTGCTCTGACATGCACTGCCAACTGTGGGACCTTATATAGAAAGTTGTGTGCCTTTCCAAATCATGTTCAATCAATTGAATTTACCACAGGTGGACTCCAATCAAGTTGTAGAAACATCTCAAGGATGATCAATGGAAATAGGATGCACCTGAGCTCAATTTCCAGTCTCATAGAAAAGGGTCTGAACACTTATGTAAATAAGGTATTTCTGTTTTTTGTTTTTAATACATTTCTCAAAACCTGTTTTCTCTTTGTCATTATGGAGTACTGTGTAGGGTTTTTCTTTATTTTTACTATTTTCTACATTGTAGAATAATAGTGAAGACATCAAATCTATGAAATAACACATATGGAATCAGGTTGTAACCAAAAAAGTGTTAAACAAATCAAAATATATTTTAGATTTTAGATTCTTCAAAGTAGCCACCCTTTGCCTCGATGACAGCTTTGCATACTCTTGGCATTCTCTCAACCAGCTTTATGAGGTAGTCACCTGGAATGCTTTTCCAACACTCTTGAAGGAGTTCCCACATATGCTGAGCACTTGTTGGCTGCTTTTCCTTCACTCTGCGGTCCAACTCATCCCAAACCATCTCAATTGGGTTGAAGTCGGGTGATTGTGGAGGCCAGGTCATCTGATGCAGCACTCCATCACTCTCCTTCTTGGTCAAATAGCTCTTACACAGCCTGGACATGTGTTTTGAGTCATTGTCCTGTTGAAAAACAAATGATAGTCCCACTAAGCGCAAACCAGATGGGATGGCGTATCGCTGCAGAATGCAGTGGTAGCCATGCTGGTTAAGTGTGCCTTGAATTCTAAATAAAACACTGACAGTGTCACCAGCATAGCACCCCCACACCATCACACCTCCTCCTCCATGCTTCACGGTGGGAACCACACATGCAGAGATCATCCGTTCACCTATTTTGCGTCTCACAAAGACACGGCGGTTGTAACCAAAAATCTCAAATTTGGACTCATCAGGCCAAAGAACAGATTTCCACCGGTCTAATGTCAATTGCTCGTGTTTCTTGGCCCAAGCAAGTCTCTTCTTCTTATTGGTGTCCTTTAGTAGTGGTTTCTTTGCAACAATTCGACCATGAAGGCCTGATTCACGCAGTCTCCCCTGAACAGTTGATGTTGAGATGTGTCTGTTACTTGAACTCTGTGAAGCATTTATTTTGGCTGCAATCTGAGGTGCAGGTAACTCTAATGAACTTATCCTCTGCAGCAGAGGCACCTCTGGGTCTTTCCAGTGGTGGTCCTCATGAGAGCTAGTTGTATCCTAGTGCTTGATGGTTTTTGCGACTGCACTTGAAGAAACGTTCAAAGTTCTTGAAATTTTCCGGATTGACTGACCTTCATGTCTTAAAGTAATGATGGACTGTCATTTCTCTTTGTTTATTTGAGCTGTTCTTGCCATAATATTTGGTCTTTTACCAAATAGGGCTATCTTCTGTATACCACCCCTACCTTGTCACAACACAACTGATTGGCTCAAAGGCATTAAGAAGGAAATAAATTCCACAAATTAACTGTGCTGTTAATTGAAATGCATTCCAGGTGACTACCTCATGAAGCTGGTTAAGAGAATGCTAAGAGTGTGCAAAGCTGTCATCAAGGCAAAGGGTGGCTACTTTGAAGAATCTCAAATATAACATATATTTTCATTTGTTTAACACTTTTTTGGTTACTACATCGTTCCATATGTGTTATTTCATAGTTTTGATGTCTTGACTATTATTCTACAATGTAAAAAATAGTCAAAATAAAGAAAAACCCTTGAATGAGTAGGTGTGTCCAAACTTTTGACTGGTAGTATATATATATATATATATATATATATATATATATATATATATATATATATATATATATATATATATATGGCTCTGGTGCAGAATGTTCTGCTCTGACTTCAATCTTTCATCCCATGCAGAAAGATACTTGTGTTCCCTGTAAACAGCATTTGGCCTATGCAGCTAGCCACACTGCAAGGCTTTCTCTTTGATCTATGATCCTTGACGGTTGCACTAGAAGCTCTGCTCTGTGTACAATTGCTTTTGCCTGCTCTAGCTTATACTCTGCCTGCAGTTTCCTGACCACTGGTCAGTAGCACTCGTCTTGCTCACAAAGATTGTACATATTTGAAGACAGAAATAAATAATAAACTCATTTTTGCTTGACAGCATGTTCTCTCTGCCTCTGTCATATGGCTTCTCTAGTCCAAGTTCACTTCACAAATGGCACCCTTTTCCCTTGACCAAAGTAGTGAACTATAGGGAATAGGGTGCCATTTGGGATGGGCCACACATCTCCAGCACAAATGCACACTGAACACATTTTTACTTATCTCTGCAGTGTTTATTGACTTCTACCAGCAACACATCCTGAGTTGTTCTGTTGTGTGCAGATTTCACAGTGGTGTTCCACAACCTTTGGTCCGTGGACTGGCTTACCCCTCTCTAACCCCAGAAATGAGAAGGGTTATGGGAAACCCATCCCCTCATCTGAAGTCAGGTTAACACTATTGATCCATTCTCACTTCTCTAAAAGGTTGGCCTCTTGTTACTAGAATACTTCAGTCAGTGGATTAGATTTCCCGGTGATGTCCCAGCTAACAATTCTAGGGAGAGAGAACGTTTTTGTAATGTTGCTTGTATGTGATGTGATCACCAGAAAGAATGCAAGAAAATTGAGTCTGGTTTAGGGGTGTAATGTTTAGTCGATTACATTTCCACTCCCACCTCTTAAGATGTTACTGCTACATTTAAACATACAGTAATTACGCCATAGTCAGGAAGTGGTGAATGATTGACTGACTATTGTGTACTCTCTGTGTGCTGGCCAATAGCATCCAGTGTTCTTCTTTAAAAGGCTGTGTGTGTTTTGTGGGGCTTCATTTCTGCCGAGGCGATGATGGAGGGAGTCGCAGCGCGAGTCGGCCTCCTTGGACTGCTTCTGGCCTGTGTTACCACGGCACCGACCAATAAGGTAGGGTCACGTACAAGTCACGAGGGGTGGGCACTCCGTCAGGGATGATATTTTGTTGATCAGCCTACATGTGATTGTGACTGCGTGTTCTTATGTGGTTACATCAGTTCAGATGTGTCTTTTGACCACAGTTTTGGGTGCGCAGAGAGCACAAAATATAAATATTCAAGATCACCTCATATTTTATGGGTTAGATTGAGCTAGACTGTGTTAGACTGAGACAAGTGTCGTAAAATTGTTGTGAAAATTACCACCAGGGACACCTGAAGACAATATTAATTGAATCATTCTTTATTATCGGCAAGCAGGAGAGGTTCCAACAAACGTAATGCATCATAGTACACGTTGGTCGGGAGCTCCACCGGGGCAGTCCCATTAGTTATCTTATGTACTGCTTACAAGTGGTGGAAAAAGTACCCAATTGTCATACTTGAGTAAAAGTAAAGGTACCTTAATAGAAAATCACTCAGGTAAAAGTGTAAGTCCCCAAGTAAAATACTACTTGAGTAAGAATCTAAAAGTATTTGGTTTTAAATATACTTACAGTGAGGGAAAAAAGTATTTGATCCCCTGCTGATTTTGTACGTTTGCCCACTGACAAAGAAATGATCAGTCTATGATTTTAATGGTAGGTTTATTTGAACAGTTAGAGACAGAATAACAACAAAAAAATCCAGAGAAACGCATGTCAAAAATTTTATAAATTGATTTGCATTTTAATGAGGGAAATAATTATTTGACACCCTCTCAATCAGAAAGATTTCTGGCTCCCAGGTGTATTTTATACAGGTAACGAGATTAGGAGCACACTCTTAAAGGGAGTGCTCCTAATCTCAGCTTGTTACCTGTATAAAAGACACCTGTCCACAGAAGCAATCAATCAATCAGATTCCAAACTCTCCACCATGGCCAAGACCAAAGAGCTCTTCAAGGATGTCAGGGACAAGATTGTAGACCTACACAAGGCTGGAATGGGCTACAAGACCATCGCCAAGCAGCTTGGTTAGTAGGCCTGGGGCTCCATGCAAGACCTCACCTCGTGGAGTTGCAATGATCATGAGAACGGTGAGGAATCAGCCCAGAACTACACGGGAGGATCTTGTCAATGATTTCAAGGCAGCTGGGACCATAGTCACCAAGAAAACAATTGGTAACACACTACGCCGTGAAGGACTGAAATCCTGCAGCGCCCGCAAGGTCCCCCTGCTCAAGAAAGCACTTATACAGGCCCGTCTGAAGTTTGCCAATGAACATCTGAATGATTCAGAGGAGAACTGGGTGGAAGTGTTGTGGTCAGATGAGACCAAAATCGAGGTCTTTGGCATCAACTCAACTCGCCGTCTTTGGAGGAGGAGGAATGCTGCCTATGACCCCAAGAACACCATCCCCACCGTCAAACATGGAGGTGGAAACATTATGCTTTGGGGGTGTTTTTCTGCTAAGGGGACAGGACAACTTCACCGCATCAAAGGGACGATGGACGGGGCCATGTACCGTCAAATCTTGGGTGAGAACCTCCTTCCCTCAGCCAGGGCATTGAAAATGGGTTGTGGATGGGTATTCCAGCATGACAATAAACCAAAACACACGGCCAAGGCAACAAAGGAGTGGCTCAAGAAGAAGCACATTAAGGTCCTGGAGTGGCCTAGCCAGTCATGTTTTGCAGAGGGGTCAAATACTTATTTCCCTCATTAAAATGCAAATCAATTTATAACATTTTTGACATGCGTTTTTCTGGATTTTGTTGTTGTTATTCTGTCTCTCACTGTTCAAATAAACCTACAATTAAAATTATAGACTGATCATGTCTTTGTCAGTGGGCAAACTTACAAAATCAGCAGGGGATCAAATGCTTTTTTCCGTCACTGTAAGTATCAAAGTACATGTAATTGCTAAAATAGACAGCACCATTTTCTTTTTTTAAATTTATGGATAGCCAGGGGCACACTCCAACACTCAGACATTCTTTACAAACAAAGCATTTGTGTTTAGTGAGTCCGCCAGGTCAGAGGCAGCAGAGATAACCAGGGATGTTCTCTTGATAAGTGTGTGAATTGGACCATTTTCCTGTCATGCTAAGCATTCAAAATGTAAGGAGAACTTTTGGGTAACAGGGAAAATGTATGGAGTAAAAAATACATTATGTTCTTTAGGAATGTAGTGAAGTAAAAGTAAAAGTAGTCAAAAATATAAATAGTAAAGTACAGATACCCCAAAAAACTACTTAAGTAGTACTTTAAAGTGTTTTTACTTAAGTACTTTACACCACTGCTGCTTACACAGACAATTTATATTTGCATGATTTAGCTTATTCATTATTCATAATGAATTCATCATTAAAGTTTGGTTCATGCATGTGACCGACCAATACCTCACGAGGCTTCTTCTCTCCAAGCTGAGACCTTGAAACTGAGACACCCCTTTCGGTTCTCAAAACAATGTTCTGGGAGTACTGCCAAATTCCTTATACTGATAGTAAGGATTCCTCCCAGCATGATCAAGCAGTCACTTGCATGAACCCAGTCGAATTGGTTATTAGAAAAGCACAAACATAAAATGTTCCTTCACATTCCCTCCTCTTATCACTCTGTGATAATTAGTGTAACATTGTAAGGTAAGCATTAGATTATAGCTTCTATCAAAAGGAGGTTCTATACTTCTATTAATGTAAGCAAAATCAACACATAAAATCAGACACTTCCTCCTTTCAAACCCTTCACTCTGGGTTGTAAAATCCAAAATACACACAAGGGATCTGTATACTTGTTTCCATAGTTCTTACCTATAAAACTATTGAAGTAGCATGTTTTAACTTAAGGCCTTCGCTTCATACAGGTACACATATGCTTCATTACACAATTTCGTTGATGGATTCTGGCAATGACATTTCAGCTGGAGCTTTTGTCACAAGTGGCATGTTAATGACAGATAGGTATCTCAATGCATTTTTAGTCTTAATTACTATACATTTCGCAGTGTGCAAACCTCCACAATCAAACTCATACCCCAAATAAACAATTTTGGACAAGCCTAAATCAAGTACGGTACGGTTGACCACCCCCCTCCTTCCCGGCGCTTATTCTTCATGCGTTTCTTCATTTTCTTCTTCAGATAGTGTTTCAGTTCGTCCTCCCAATGGCACATGTTCAAAGTGGATGGCCCTTGATAATAGCCCGATTTCAATATCTGGGGAATAATCTGATTTTCCCAAGTAGACGAATCTCTCACCAGAGCCGCCACCCTCCTTTTACGGTCCATTATGACTTGTCCATTTTCCGACCAGTACACCAGTAGCATGAAAGAAGTTTGGATGGGCTCTCTCTCCATGCTCACTCCACGTGGACTCATGTCGCACTCCTGAGAGAAAAGGCATGCGAGAAAAGGCAGTTGATAGCTTCGACTGGATGCTGTGTATAGGTTGCTGTCTCGGACTCAGGTAGAAGTGGTGAAGGACAGGGCTATAGTGAACACCATTGTCGCCATTACTTCAGCAGGTTAGAAGGGGTGAGGCTCACACTGTCCTTGGTCGAATTATCCCTTCCATGCATCTAGATACCATCTGTGGTCACCTTCGCCATAACCTCGAGAGAGGACATTTCTGAATCAGGAAATCCAGACAAACTATTCACTGTATGACAAATTATGACATCTACAAATATTCTTAATACAAATGTCTAAGACAAATGTCAAAGAGAATAACAACACACAGTTGAAACCATTTTTGCAAATTGGCTTATACTCCCCTATCATCTTGGCGATCTCACCGCATAGTTACAGGGTCAGGGAGTTAGAGGGCTAATCCTTAGGGGGAAATCCCGACCATCCAGCAGACCCAATCTGGTGAGATTTGTATTGAAGCAAGACAAAAACAAAACAAACAAAACAACACCAACAATACACGCAAAACAAACAAACATACAAACAAATCATTCACTTCTTCCCTTTTGACACTCACATCGTGATTCATGCATCCCAAAATAAAAACAACACTGCTGGTTAAATCAAAATAACAAATACAATTAGAATTACAAGCCTTGATAACTCCATCTTAAAATAATTGTATCCCATAAGGTAATTCAAGGAATGATAAAATAGACTAGAGACAAGTTTCCCTCATTCAGGGGCAGCGCTCTCTCTCTCTCCTTCTCGTGGTCCAAATCACACATTGTACTATTGATAAATTATAAACTTCTTCCTAATTATCAGTGTTTACATATTACATTTAAATCTCACCCAATGTCTCTAGCTTTTCTAGTGAGGGTGATCAGGCCTCACCAGAAAGTCAGAACAGAGGTCAGAGGTCATTCAACTCCACTAAGTGAGTGTTTCTTTCCTTTTTCTTTCCCTGTACCTCAGACATTATTTAAAGACATTTCAAACATTGGGTTTGTCAGTACAGGGATCAGGGTACCTTTATACTAACTGTTCTCCCAAGGCACCTGCCTCAAAAAGCATTTCAAAGGGAGAGATATAGAATAATTGGTAAACTCATCAGAAAACTTGGTAGTGGTAGAAAGAAAATAAACATGTACTTAGTTTGCACTATGCTACATCTTAATCAGTCCTAAGAATTCTTAATCTTAATCGAGTTTACTGCATCTTGGGCAGGAAGTCTTGATAAACTCATGTGTATACAGAATCATACTTCAGACACATCAGATGATACAGTGTCCTGTTAAGTGGAATAGGCACCTTCTAAAGTAAACAATCCCAAAGTCAATACTTTGTAGAGCCACCTTTTGCAGCAATTACAGCTGCAAGTCTCTTGGGGTATGTCTCTATAAGCTTGACACATCTAGCCACTGGGATTTTTGCCCATTCTTCAAGGCAAAACTGCTCCAGCTCCTTCAAGTTGGATGGGTTCTGCTTGTGTATAGCAAACTTTAAGTCATACCACAGATTTTCAATTGGATTGAGGTCTGGGCTTTGACTAGGCCATTCCAAGACATTTAAATGTTTCCCCTTAAACCACTCAAGTGTTGCTTTAGCAGTATGCTTAGGGTCATTGTCCTGCTGGAAGGTGAACCCCCGTCCCAGTCTCAAATCTCTGGAAGACTGTATTAAGCGCCATCCATCATTTCTTCAATTCTGACCAATTTCCCAGTCCCTGCTGATGAAAAACATGGCCACAGCATGATGCTGCCACCACCATCCTTCACTGTGGGGATGGTGTTCTCGGGGTGATGAGAGGTGTAGGGTTTGCGCCAGACATAGCATTTTCCTTGATGGCCAAAAAGCAAAATTTTAGTCTCATCTGACCAGAGTACCTTCTTCCATATGTTTTGGGAGTCTCCTGTAAGGGTTGGTGTTTGGGGAGTCTCCCACATGCCTTTTGGTGAACACCAAACGTGTTTGCTTATTTTTTTTCTTTAAGCAATGTCTTTTTTCTGGCCACTCTTCTGTAAAGCCCAGATCTGTGGAGTGTACGGCTTAAAGTGGTCCTATGGACAGATACTCTAATCTCCGCTGTGGAGCTTTGCAGCTCCTTCAGGGTTATCTTTGGTCTCTTTGTTGCCTCTCTGATTAATGCCCTCCTTGCCTGGTCCGTGAGTTTTGGTGGGTGGCCCTCTCTTGGCAGGTTTGTTGTGGTGCCATATTCTTTCCATTTTTTTATAATGGATTTAATGGTGCTCCGTGGGATGTTCCAAGTTTCAGATATTTTTTTATAACCCAACCCTGATCTGTACTTCTCCACAACTTTGTCCCTGGCCTGTTTGGAGAGCTCCTTGATCTTCATGGTGCCGTTTGCTTGGTGGTGCCCCTTGCATAGTGGTGTTGCAGACTCTGGGGTCTTTCAGAACAGGTGTATATATACTGAGATCATGTGACAGATCATGTGACACTTAGATTGCACACAGGTAGACTTTATTTAACTAATTATGTGACTTATGAAGGTAATTGGTTGTACCAGATCTTATTTAGGGGCTTCATAGCAAAGGGTGTGCATACATATGCACGCACCACTTAGATTTTTTAAATTTCACCTCACCAATTTGGACTATTTTGTGGAAGTCCATTACATGAAATCCAAATAAAAATCCATTTAAATTACAGGTTGTAATGCAACAATATAGGAAAAACGCCAAGGGGGATGAATACTTTTGCAAGGTACTGTATACCCGATACACACAAATCTAGGTAAGGAATGGAATTAAGAATATTTACATATATGGACGAGCAATGACAGCAAGTCCGGGCTCTGGCTGGGCCACTCAAGGACGTTCAGAGACTTGTCTCGAAGCCACTCCTGCGTTGTCTTGGCTGTGTGCTTAGGGTCGTTGTCCTATTGGAAGGTGAACCTTCACCCCAGTCTGAGGTCCTGAGCGCTCTGGAGAAGGTTTTCATCAAGGATCTCTCTGTACTTTGCTCCGTTCATATTTGCCTCGTTCCTGACAAGTCTCCCAGCCCCTGCAGCTGAAAAACATCCCCACAGCATGATGCTGCCACCACCATGCTTCACCGTAGGGATGGTGACAGGTTTTCTCCAGACGTGTCGCTTGGCATTCAAGCCAAACAGTTCAATCTTGGTTTCATCAGACCAGATAATCTTGTTTCTCATGGTCTGAGAGTCTTTAGGTGCCTTTTGGCAAACTCCAAGCGGGGTGTCTTGTGCCTTTTACTGAGGAGTGACTTCCGTCTGGCCGCTCTACCATAACAGCCGGATTGTTGGAGTGCTGCAGAGATGGTTGTCCTTCTGGAAGGTTCTCCCATCTCCACAGAGGAACTCTAGAACTCTGTCAGAGTGAACATCTGGTTCTTGGTCACCTCTGACCAAGGCCCTTCTACCCCATTGCTCAATTTTGCCAGCGGCCAGCTCTAGGAAGAGTCTTGGTGGTTCCAAACTTCTTCCATTTAAGAATGATGGAGGCCACTGTGTTCTTGGGGACCTTCAATGCTGCAGAAATGTTTTGGTACCCTTTCCCAGATCTGTGCCTCGACACAATCCTGTCTCGGAGCACTACGGACAATTCCTTTGACCTCATGGCTTGTTTTTGCTCTGACATGCACCATCAACTGTGGGACCTTATATAGACAGGTGTGTTCCTTTCCAAATCATGTCCAATCAATTGAATTTACCACAGGTGGACTCCAATCAAGTTGTAGAAACATCTCAAGGATGATCAATGGAAACAGGATGCACCTGAGCTCAATTTTGAGTCTCATAGCAAATGGTCTGAATACTTATGTAAATAAGGTATTTCTGTTTTTTGTTTTTAATACATTTGCAAAATATTACAAAAACCAGTTTTTGCTTCGTCATTATGGAAATTGAGGAAATTGTTATTTTTAATCCATTTTAGAATAAGGCTGTAATATAACAAAATGTGGAAAAAGTCAAGTGGTCTGAATATTTCACGAAGGCACTTTATGCCCTGTACTGACTGTCCCTGTGACATCAACTAGTCAAAATGTGAAACCTGTTGTTTAACAAATCTGCTTGGTCCTTCAAAAAGTTGGTGCCTGCTTATCAGCCCAATAGTTGGTACTAAAAACATTTACTTGGATCTACTTCAATTTTGGACACAGTTCCATGTAATGGAAACAGATGGTTGTTTTAGATGACATTACCTTCTTACTTAAATCACTGGTGTTACCCAAACTATAGAATTGTGTAATAATAATTGGATATTGTCAAAAACCTTGTTTTTCAATTATTCATACCTCTGTCCCAAATGTCCCACTATGTCCCTTACAGCCTGTTTGAGTTCAGTGAGTACCAAATATTTTCACTGGCAGCTTATCTACAGTGGGGGAAAAAGTATTTAATCAGCCACCAATTGTGCAAGTTCTCCCACTTAAAAAGATGAGAGTGGCCTGTAATTTTCATCATAGGTACACGTCAACTATGACAGACAAATTGAGAATTTATTTTCCAGAAAATCACATTGTAGGATTTTTAATGAATTTATTTGCAAATTATGGTGGAAAATAAGTTTTTGGTCACCTACAAACAAGCAAGATTTCTGGCTCTCACAGACCTGTAACTTCTTCTTTAAGAGGCTCCTCTGTCCTCCACTCGTTACCTGTGTTAATGGCACCTGTTTGAACTTGTTATCAGTATAAAAGACACCTGTCCACAACCTCAAACAGTCACACTCCAAACTCCACTATGGCCAAGACCAAAGAGCTGTCAAAGGACACCAGAAACAAAATTGTAGACCTGCACCATGCTGGGAAGACTGAATCTGCAATAGGTAAGCAGCTTGGTTTGAAGAAATCAACTGTGGGAGCAATTATTAGGAAATGGAAGACATACAAGACCACTGATAATCTCCCTCGATCTGGGGCTCCACGCAAGATCTCACCCCGTGGGGTCAAAATGATCACAAGAACGGTGAGCAAAAATCCCAGAACCACACGGGGGGACCTAGTGAATGACCTGCAGAGAGCTGGGACCAAAGTAACAAAGCCTACCATCAGTAACACACTACGCCGCCAGGGACTCAAATCCTGTAGTGCCAGACGTGTCCCCCTGCTTAAGCCAGTACATGTCCAGGCCCGTCTGAAGTTTGCTAGAGTGCATTTGGATGATCCAGAAGAGGATTGGGAGAATGTCATATGGTCAGATGAAACCAAAATTTTTGGTAAAAACTCAACTCGTCGTGTTTGGAGGACAAAGAATGCTGAGTTGCATCCAAAGAACACCATACCTACTGTGAAGCATGGGGGTGGAAACATCATGCTTTGGGGCTGTTTTTCTGCAAAGGGACCAGGACGACTGATCCGTGTAAAGGAAAGAATGAATGGGGCCATGTATTGTGAGATTTTGAGTGAAAACCTCCTTCCATCAGCAAGGGCATTGAAGATGAAACGTGGCTGGGTCTTTCAGCATGACAATGAACCCAAACACACCGCCCGGGCAACGAAGGAGTGGCTTCGTAAGAAGCATTTCAAGGTCCTGGAGTGGCCTAGCCAGTCTCCAGATCTCAACCCCATAGAAAATCTTTGGAGGGAGTTGAAAGTCTGTGTTGCCCAGCAACAGCCCCAAAACATCACTGCTCTAGAGGAGATCTGCATGGAGGAATGGGCCAAAATACCAGCAATAGTGTGTGAAAACCTTGTGAAGACTTACAGAAAACGTTTGACCTGTGTAATTGCCAACAAAGGGTATATAACAAAGTATTGAGAAACTTTTGTTATTGACCAATTACTTATTTTCCACCATAATTTGCAAATAAATTCATAAAAAATCCTACAATGTGATTTTCTGGATTTTTTTTCTCAATTTGTCTGTCATATTTGATGTGTACCTATGATGAAAATTACAGGCCTCTCTCATCTTTTTAAGTGGGAGAACTTGCACAATTGGTGTCTGGCTAAATACTTTTTTCCCCCACTGTATTTGTCCACAGGAAGCTTATCTCTAACCCAAACACCAAATGGCATCTTCTAATTTAGTCAGTCCCAAGGCTCAATCCCTCTGTTTGTCATGCGACCTTGTATTTAAACATTTATTTATTCAAATTACAAAGACATTGCATTATTAGTGCTATCTGAAAGCTACTAATGTTACCATTCACTTTGTTACTTTCACGAGTCTCCAAATCTGTTTCCTTTAACTAGGACTCTTTCTTCCCAATAGGACGACCCTCTCAATCACTACTGCTAATACACACGGATCACTCTCAAACAATGTTCTGCTTATACCCCTATTGCAAGGTTTCAAAACAAAACAAAACAAACATGATAACTTTCTCCTTATTGGAAAGCACTGTTTTCATTTTAGTCTACCCTAACATTGTTACTCTATATATTTATTACCAATTTTTGTTGGATATTTACTTTCTGCTTCACACTTTTTAAATGTCTATTATTTTAAGATTTATATAATACTTTCACTATAACTGGGCTGGCACTGTAGATGGAGTGCTCTGTCCATACTAAGTCTGGAACCTGAGACAGGATAGACTGCGAAACAGAGCCAGTTTCCGACTCCGTCTCGGGGAGTGGTTCAATTTTGCCTACTCACGAATCGGTTTAGAACTTCATCATTGGGATTTTCAACGAAAATTCAATCGGGAGTACAATAAATTGCAGCTTTAAGTTTAGTTAACAAGTCTCTACTTGTTCAACATTCATTGGTTTTATTTAACAGGGCATGGGTATTGTTTCTAAATGTATTACCCGGGGTGGAGGAAATCTCATAAGCGTTTATAGTTTTATTGGTTGGGGGTAAGTCATGTCCCGTACCTTTACCTGTCACGCCCTGGCTCTGGGGACTCTTGTATGTTGAGCCAGGGTGTTAGTTTCTTTGTGTAGTGTCCATGTTTTGTTTTCTATGTTCTGTTCTAGGTTATGTGTTTCTATGTTGGCCGGGGTGGTTCTCAATCAGAGGCAATGAGAATCAGCTGTTGCTTGTTGTCTCTGATTGGGATCCATACTTAGGCAGCCTTTTGTGCACTTGTGATTCGTGGGATCTTGTTCCGTGTAGGTTTGTTTGCTACAGAGGACTTCACGTATCGTTTTGTTGTTTTGTTGTGTTATTGTTGCTAAGTACTCTATTAAAGAAGATGCACGCATATCACGCTGCGCCTTGGTCCACTCATTATGACGATCATGACAGAAGATCCCACCAAAACAGGACCAAGCAGCGTGTCCAGGAGCAGACAGCCTGGACTTGGGAGGAGATCTTGGACGGGCAGGGGTCCTGGACTTGGGAGGAAATCCAGGCTGGAATGGATCGCCGTCCGTGGGAGGAGACGGTGGAAGCACGCCATAGAGAGGAGCAGCGGCGCCAAGCGGGCCGACGTCGGACACACAAGAGGCAACCCCAATCATTTTTTTGGGGGGGGCACATGGCATGGACGACGGGGCTGCTGAAGGCAGCTACGGGGCGAGTTTGGGGATTAGGAGAGGAGGCCACCGGGTTTGGGGGGCTGGAAGGGAGGTTGGCGGAGCCTAGAGGTAGAGCAGAGCCAACTCCCCGGACTCAGGCTAGGCAGCGTGAGACTGGGCAGGTTCCGAGGTATGCGGAGCTGCGTACTGTGCCGCGAGTGGTCCGGCACAGTCCGATACATCCTGTGCGAGCACCACGCACGTGTCGTGCTAAGGTGGGCATGCAGCCAGGATGGAGTGTGCCGGCTCAACGCTCGTGGCCTCCAGTACCCCTCCTCGGTCCCGGATATCCTGCGCCAGTGTCACGTGCTCTAGTGCCAGTACGAGTACACAGCCCTGTACGTCCTGTGCTGATGCCTCACACAGAGTGTGTAAAAATAAGCATTCAGCCAGGACGGGTTGTGTCAGCTCTTCGCTCCAGACCTCCAGTCCGTCTCCACAGCCTGGTCCGGCCTGTTCCTGTTCCCCGCACCAAGCCTGTGGTGCACGTCGCCACCCCGGTCCGGCCTGTTCCTGCCCCTCGCACCAAGCCTGTGGTGCGCGTCGCCAGCCCGGTCCGGCCTGTTCCTGCCCCTCGCACCAAGCCTGTGGTGCGCGTCGCCAGCCCGGTCCGGCCTGTTCCTGCCCCTCGCACCAAGCCTGTGGTGCACGTCGCCAGCCCGGCCCGGCCTGTTCCTGCTCCCCGCACCAAGCCTGTGGTGCGCGTCGCCAGCCCGGCCCGGCCTGTTCCTGCTCCCCGCACCAAGCCTGTGGTGCGCGTCGCCAGCCCGGCCCGGCCCGTTCCTGCTCCCCGCACCAAGCCAATGGTGCGCGTCGCCGGCCCGGCCTGTTCCTGCTCCCCGCACCAAGCCAGTGGTGCGCTTAGCCAGCCCGGTCCGGCCCGTTCCTGCTCCCCGCACCAAGCCTGTGATGCGCGTCGCCAGCCTGGCCCGGCCTGTTCCTGCCCCTCGCACCAAGCCGATGGTGAGCGTCGTCAGCCCGGCCCGGCCTGTCCCTGCTCCCCGCACCAAGCCTGTGGTGCGCGTCGCCAGCCCGGTCCGGCCCGTCCCTGCTCCCCGCACCAAGCCTGTGGTGCGCGTCGTCAGTCCAGCACAGCCCGTGCCTGCTTCACCGGTGCCTGGTCAGGTACCGGTCAGCTGCTCCACACCGGAGACTAAGCAATCCGCTCCACCGATGTCCAGTCCAGCTCCAGGCAGCGGGGCCAGACCAGACCAGGAGCGCTATGGGGGGGTTGTTAGAGGGTGGTGGTCACGCCCGGAGCCGGATCCGCCTCCGAGGTGGAATGCCCACCCGGCCCCTCCCCTGTTGGGTTTATGTTGGCGCGGTCGCAGTCCGCGCCTTTGGGGCGGGGGTACTGTCACGCCCTGGCTCTGGGGACTCTTGTATGTTGAGCCAGGGTGTTAGTTTCTTTGTGTAGTGTCCATGTTTCGTTTTCTATGTTCTGTTCTAGGTTATGTGTTTCTATGTTGGCCGGGGTGGTTCTCAATCAGAGGCAATGAGAATCAGCTGTTGCTTGTTGTCTCTGATTGGGAACCATACTTAGGCAGCCTTTTGTGCACTTGTGATTCGTGGGATCTTGTTCCGTGTAGGTTTGTTTGTTACCGAGGACTTCACGTATCGTTTTGTTGTGTTATTGTTGCTAAGTACTCTATTAAAGAAGATGTACGCATATCACGCTGCGCATATGTACGCATATCACGCTTGGTCCACTCATTATGACAATCATGACATTACCAAAAGTGGATATGCGCCAATCTTTGTCTGAGACTTTATTTCCCAGACCCTATAGACAGTCATACAATGCTTAAACCTTATCTTTATCAAATGATCCATAAAGGGACCACCCTGAACTTCTCTGAATACTTTTTTACACCACTTACGTATGTCTGCGTGTGGGTGTGTAAGTTGTATATTATAAAAATAAAAATAAATGCATTGTTACTTTATCAAATCTCTAGTAACCCATTATACTCTTCTTCACAAATTCCTCCTTTACACTAGTGTTCTATTCATACAGGTATTTAAATATTTACACTAGTGTTCTATTTAACAGCATAATCGGGAATAGTACTCTCTCCTTTCATATCTGGACATACAGAATCCCTATATAACGTTATAAATCAACTTAGGTATTTACATCCACACCACCAGCAACAATCACAGCGCAGCCAGCCCGAGAGGTACACATATCAAGTTCTCGAAGAAATCTCAGTGTCCGGGGGCGTCAATGAACAGCCCTTACCCGTCTCAGCTGTTACCCTCTCAAACTTTTCAATGGCTTCTCCTGTCAGTGCTCACTACCTGTAGATTGACAGGCGGTGGTGGACATAACCCCTAGATAACGTTATAGATCGAAAAACTCAGCTCACACAGAACTGGAAAACTCAGCTCACACAGAACTGGAAAACTCAGCTCACACAGAACTGGAAAACTCAGCTCACACAGAACTGGAAAACTCAGCTCACACAGAACTGGAAAACTCAGCACACACAGAACTGGAAAACTCAGCTCACACAGAACTGGTTGGGGTATTCATTCAGACACGCACCTCTTTCACAACGGGGCTAGTCCCCTGACAGCTCTCATTCACTCAGTACTTAATAGTAATAATATATCTTAATATCTAAAATTAAATCCTCTTACTATCCAAATTTCAACTCTCTTATTGTACACATTTCAATCAGCTTAATATCCAACTTTCAACCCTCTTATTATCACACATTTAAATCCTTTGTTGAACTCAGCTTACCACTTATTATCCAAATGTCAATCTCTTAACACTAATAATTTGTCTTATTATCCAAATTTCAATCAGCTTAATATCAAAATGTCAAACCTTTTATTATCCAAATTTCAATCAGCTTAATATCAAAATGTCAATCCTTCTATTATCCAAATTTCAATCAGCTTAACACGTCCTTTCCACACTCACACAAATCTCACATCCACTCCTATAATCCAAATTTCAATTATCTTATTATCCAAATTTCCTTTCCACGCCCACACAACTCTCACATCCACATTCACTTAGTACTATTCCCAAACACATTCAGTAATCTCCCTTATTACTCCATGTGCATCTTCAGCGATTCTCTTATCGTTACTTCCTATGCACCATATGTATCTTCAAAGGTTCTCTTGCCGCAACTTCCTATACATATAAAATAACACCTCTTGCTATTATCAGTGGATGCAGACTATGTAGACACTTCAAATAAATGCCTGCAGACAGCTGTCAGTTGGGCTTTTCCATGGTACCTTTCCTGCCCTCGTTCTAGCCTTCTCCTAAGACTAGCTCTAGCCTTCTTCTTAAGACTAGTGGTACCTTTTTATGTTTATATTTATTTTTAAACAAATTCATTTAAATTGACTTACTGAAATTCAGTCGCCGTGTCCCTCAATTGTTTGCAGATTATGTGTCTCCTCATGGGCAGCTCGCAGTAAGGGTCTGGCCTGGTCTGGTCCTCGTCATCTTTTGGTCAGACAGGAATTTCCCTCACGCTTCATAAAATTTGCCACAGGTTTTCCTCGCAGACCCTCACTGGAAAGCTCTGCAGGCAGAATCAATAATCTAGTTTGTGACGCCATATTGCCGTGGACATTACCACCAGGGACACCTGAAGTCAATACTAAATGAATCATTCGTTATTATCAGCAAGCTGGAGAGGTTCCAACAAACTTAATGCACCATAGTACACGTTGGTCGGGAGCTCCGTCAGGGCAGTCCCGTTAGTTATCTTATATACTGCTTAAACAGACAAGTTATATTTGCATGATTTAGCTTATTCATTATTCATAACTAATTCATCATTAACGTTTGGTTCATGCATGTGACCGACCAATACCTCATGAGGCTTCTTCCCTCCAAGCTGAGGCCTTGAAACTGAGACACCCATTTCGGTTCTCAAAACAATGTTCTGGGCGTACTGCTAAATTGCTTATACTGATAGTGAGGATTCCTCCCAGGCACGATCAATCAGTCACTAGCATGAAACCAGTCGATGGTTATTAGAAATTGGTTATTAGAAAAGCACAAACATGTATAGTCCATAGTTGTCCTGGTTGCTGTTTCCCTAAACCATCCTATCAGCCCCGAACAAACAGAGTGCACCATGTCTCCTAGCTAGACAAACAGCAACATGTTATAATTTCACGTTTGGGGTGAAAGACCGACTGGTCAAAGCTTTTTGCTCCTTTGAGTGTGTGGGCATGAATGATTCTAGAGGGCAGTCAAACAACAAGTAGGTGTAACCAGTCCGAGACCAATCAGGTTTTAGATATACTAGTCTTGAGTTCTACTGGTTATTATGTATTCATAAATGGTGGGATTGCTTGTGTGTACAGTGTGTGTGTGTGTGCACGTGAGTGTGCGCGTGAGTGAGAGAGTGAGTAATCGATTGAGCGAGTGAGTAAGTGAGAGAGTGAGCGAGTGTGTGTGTGTGTGTGTGTACAAATGCAGTCTTGTTTTATGTACAAGGCATGCCACAGTATAATGGAGGGATATCAGTGCTAGTTATAAAATGCCACTCTTAAATGCTAAGTTGGGATGCAAAAATAATTAAGGCATCATTAAATGCTAATTTGGAATGGAAATTGATAAATGCAATGCTTAAATGCTAATTGCTAAACAGTGTTGATGGTGTTTCCTGATCCTTTATAGAACAGGGACTGGGACATCTACAGCTTTCACGTCAACTCCACAGTGACCAGTCGCTATGCAACCACTATTATCACCAGCCGGGTGGCCAATCGGATCGACCAGTCACAGGAAATAGAATTCCATGTCAAGATTCCCAAGAATGCGTTCATCAGTCAATTCAAAATGTACAGTATGCCTAAATTAATATTTCACTGTCTAACATGATAGTTTACACACACACATATTACACACATGCTCACGTATAGAGCAAATATCTCCCTCTCTCTCTCTCTCTCTCTCTCCCTCTCTCCCTCTAACCCTCTCTCTCTCTCCCTCCCTCTCTTCCTCTCTCTCTCGCTCCCTCTCTCTCTCTCTCTCTCTCTCTCTATCTCTCTCTCTATCTCGCTCTCTCTCCCTCTCTCTCTTCCTCAGGACCATTGATGGGCAGACGTATGATGGGGTTGTGAAACAGAAGGAGGAGGCTCAGCAGCAGTACACTCAGGCAGTGTCTCGTGGCCAAAGTGCTGGCATAGTCAGGTGTGTGTGGGTGTGTGTGCAGGGCCGGCCCTAGCCAATAAGCGACATAAGCGGCCACTTGTTTGTGGAACTCAGTCAGGGTCTCAACCTGCTGTTGAGAGTTAGAATAGTATAATACACAAGGTTCAATTTCTAAATTTGGTAGTGCATCAGCAGTTTTCCTCATCAGTCACTTACAGTCACTCAATTAGCCCATGTCAGCAAAAATATTTTAGATTCTTTAGATTGTAAGGTAAGGTAATCTAGCCAGCTATCTAAACCTTGTAGTGGGGCCGGCAGGTAGCCTAGCGGTTAAGAGCGTTGGGCCAATAACCAAAAGGACTAGGTGAAAATTATGTGATGTGCCCTTGAGCAAGGCACTTAAACATAATTCCTCTTGTAAGTCACTCTGGATAAGAGCGTCTGCTGAATGACAAAAAAGTATATAATATATATTTTTTAGGCCTAATCATAATCAAAATACCATCCGGGTACGCAGGGCATGTGTTCAGGAGCCCTGACCTCCAGAGAGCCCCCATTGATTTTGTTAGTCACTCTCACTCAGACATCATATGAACATGGCACAGGTCATGGCAAAATGTGAAGAATTTAAATTAGTTTTAAAACTGCAACATTTTCTCTCAGCTCCATAGCAACGTGTAAAATTGCAAGAAATGTAACACTGCAAAATGTTCTCTCCGCTGTCAAGAGGGAGGCCACTCAAATATTTTGCCTGAGAGGGTGGGGGGGGGCAACTAAATCTAACTAAGTGCCCCCAAAAGGCTAGGGCTGGCCCTGTGTGTGTGTGTGTGTGTGTGTGTGTGTGTGTGTGTGTGTGTGTGTGTGTGTACTGTATCTGTGACTACAGTATGTGTGTGTTGGTGTGTTAGACTGTGCCTCTTTTATGTCTCCTCAGTTCTGTGGGGAGGACCCTTGAGGAGTTTAAGACGTCTGTGACTGTGGCCGCGCTCAGTAAGGTGACCTTTGAACTGACCTATGAGGAGCTGTTGAAACGACGACTGGGCAAGTATGAACTGCTGATCCACGCTCGACCCATGCAGCCTGTCGCTGACTTCAAGGTGAGAGAGAGAACAGATCAAATCAATGAACATGGATTGATGAGTCATTCCATTTGAGGTTGATGTTGTATTTTCTTTATTTTTCCTCTTTTCCTTCTCTTCCTTATGGCCAGATTGACGTGTACATCAATGAGCGACCAGGCATTAACTTCCTGGACATAAAAGGGGGACTGAGCACCAAAGCGCTGGCTAATGCCATCACCAAAACACACGCTTCTAGTGAGGTAATGTCCACAACAGAGTAATGTAGTAACGCTGCAGCCCGTCTGGTGTTCAACCTTCCCAAGTTCTCTCACGTCACCCCGCTCCTCCGCACACTCCACTGGCTTCCAGTTGAAGCTCGCATCTACTACAAAACCATGGTGCTTGCCTACGGAGCTGTGAGGGGTACGGCATCTCCTTACCTTCAGGCTCTGATCAGACCCTACACCCAAATGAGGGCACTACGTTCATCCACCTCTGGCCTGCTAGACCCCCTACCTCTACGGAAGCACAGTTCCCGTTCAGCCCAGTCAAAATTATTCGCTGCTCTGGCACCCCAATGGTGGAACAAGCTCCCCCACGACGCCAGGACAGCGGAGTCACTGACCACCTTCCGGAGACACTTGAAACCCTACCTCTTTAAGGAATACCTGGAATAATATAAAAGTAATCCTTCTACAACCCCCCCCCCCCCCCCCCCCATAAAAACTAAAAACTAAAAGTGGTTGTCCCACTGGCTATCATAATTTGAATGCACCAATTTGTAAGTCGCTCTGGATAAGAACGTCTGCTAAATGATGTAAATGTAAATGTAGAGCTAACCAAAATGAATTCAAACCTTGAAATGAATTAAATTCTAAACAAATTCAATTTAAAACATTCAAAAAGATGTAGACACACATGCATCATTTCAAAACCTATTCTTCGCACCACTGTGATTTTCATATCTCTCTGCATGTTAATGCTAATACGAATTAGCTCATGCTAAGGAGGTAAGGTAAACAGGCTGTGTTTTTAAAAGGCAGAAGCCTAAACTACCATCCTCTCCCAGGGGCGTCATTTCAGCTAAACTTAGGGTGTGGCAAAGTGACAGCTTGAAGCTACAGCAACAAATTGATAATGGCTGGAGTCAATTATGCTTTGGGGACCACGTTTTTATTTGCTTTGTCATTTTTAGGGGGTGGGGGGTTACAGGTACAATATTCATGTCAATTTACACACTTAATTTATACCACATGTACATGAAGGTTGCCACTCTATAAATATATATATATATAAGAATACATACATAGAAATGTTCATATTGATCACATAGGATTTTGTAATAATACAATTGGTATGTAAAAAAAGAGATACAAAACCAATGTTATATCAAATGTAAGCTCATTTACTGCCTTTCTACACAATAAAAAATTAAAAAAGCCAAATTGACTCCAGCCATTATCATCTTGTTGCTCTAGATTCATCTCAGTCAATAGGGGACTTTCTACAAACACACGTCATACAAGAACTAGCTGCTACACACTAGCTCAGCACCAGGATTAAAACTCCTAGTTTGTTTCATGTCAAGTCAAACAGCAGTTACCTAGCCAAAGCCATCTATACAGCCATCTTTACCTCTGCACTGGTTTGAGAAAATGTCAAGCTGTTCCCTGCAGCTGTGTTGATGCGCTCTTAATAAAGTCAGCCTAGCCAGCCATAAAAACAGCCTTCCCTCCTGCTCCCAGGCGTCCGCATGGTACCAAAGTCAGCCAGTTTATACCACTAAACTGCATTTGCCTTTTAATCGGGATTGGAATGATTTTAGAAGTCTATTTGAAATTGTTGGTGTTGAGCTAGGTTATGGTGACTGCCAATTGACGCCCCTGCCCTCTCCCCAGGCCTGGGTACATTTCTACCCCAGCAAGGAGCAGCAGAGCCAGTGTGACAGCTGTGGAGAGCAGGGCCTGAACGGAGACCTGGTCATTGTCTATGACGTCTACAGGAACACGTCCATGGGAGATCTCAAGGTACACTTCTTCCACCCTCTTCCTGTCATTCATTTCTTCATCTCTACCCTGTCTTTTCATCACCATCTCTGATTCTCTCTTCAGGAGTCAAAAGGGTATTTTGTCCATCACTTTGCTCCCAGTGACCTACCACGCATACCAAAGAATGTAGTCTTCATCATCGATCGGAGTGGCTCCATGCATGGCAGGAAAATGGAGCAGGTTTGTTTGTGTGTTTTTTGAATGTGTTGCCTGTTGTAATGTAGCTAAAGGTTTAACGATTGAGCAATGTACACATACATACTATTCAATGCATGGGACAATTCATTTTGATTGATTGGTTGATTGATTGCATTTTGATTGTATTTTGATGCACTGGGATCTGTCAGACCCGTGAGGCCTTGTTGAAGATCCTGGTAGACCTGGTAGAGGACGACCACTTTGGCCTAATCACCTTCGACTACTCTGTGTCTACCTGGAAGAAGGAGCTGCTGCCGGCCAACCAGGAAAACCTGGAGGCTGCCAAGAGCTTTGCACGACACATTCACGACAGAGGAGGTACAATTATTATGGTAACACTTTACATGACACCTAGCGTCATAACACGTTATGACAAGGTCATAACCATGTCATAATAGGTCATAACAGCTGACATAACTTGTCATACCTTGTTATAATATGGTCATAACACTGTCAGGACACAGATATACAGTATTTTGAGCTGTTGTGACATATATTGAGATTATTTATGGCTGGTTATGACACCTACATAAGAGTGTCAAAACCCACAAAACCTACTATACAAGGCAAAACATTCCATTACACCATAGCCTACGTGTCAACAGTATGTTTATGTTATCTTTTATTTTATTTTATTGACCATATTAAATTATAATTGTAATTGCGCACACATTGATGTCAGACATGCTACCTACCCCAATGCTCTGTTGCTGATGACTGGGATGATTGCAGGAGCAGATTTCAGGAGCAGGACATGACACCCTCTTTTTGACTGATAACTGATTTAAGGTCATGTATGTGATAGGCCTATCTGGCTTATATGATTATGATGGTCATAATGCTTCTTGACAGTGTCATAAAGTGTATTTTCTTAGTCCAAGTAAGGTGATACAGGATGGTCATAATGCTTCAAGGCAGTGTCATAAAGTGTATTTTCAAGTTATTTAAAATATGATGGAAAAAGAACATGACTGTAAAGAATTCATTACAACAACAACAAAGGATTTAAGAATAAGCTTTCAAACAGAAGGAAACTTATTGGCAGGGAATATTATGACAGGTTATGACAAGTTATTTCAGCTGTTATTACATACTAGTTATGACACTGGGTGTCAAGTAAAGTCTTACCATTATTACTTACTTACTTACTTAATCCTCTTCCCTATTTTCAAAGATTTCCAAAGCTGACAGTACAGTTAAGGTGTATTAGCATTTTCTGTAGCACTTAAAGTCTGCGTTTACATAGGCAGCCCAATTCAGTTCTTTTGCAAATTATTTGCATATCTGATACTTATCTGATCTTTTTCCTAGTGTGTAAACAGAGATAACCACATGGAATCTGATCATTTAACCTCCATATGTGGATGTGAATCCTGATACAAACCCGATCCTCCATATCAGTGGCGGTCAGTGCCGTTTAAGATGAGGGAGGATGATAATTTATTTAATGAGTATGGCTTTATTTTTATTACAGCATATTGGACGACTGTCATTCATATTCCATTCACCCAGCTCAATGTAACATCGATAGGTTTAGGTTACTATATGATATTCAAATTTTCACTATACCCATCATGAGGTTGCTACAACCTTGAGTAATCAAGGTGACAGACAGTGACACATTCAATACCGCCTTGCCCACTCTTGCCTGCATCTAGCTGATCTAGGGTGTAATCATTAGTCCAACAGTTGCAAACGAGAGTTTCTATTGGACAAATTCAGGTATGTTTATCCCCATTTCGTTCTATTTGCTTCCATTTAAGAAATGTTTTTCAACAGAATCGGTGGAATAAATACACCCCTGATTACACGCAAACACAGTTAACTTTCACAAGAGCCAAATACAAACATCATGATCACTTTGCTCGTTAATTCCTTCTCGCATCTACGCGCTCTTCTCTCACCTTTTCCCTTTGCTTTTGGACTTCAGTGCACAACACATCAGCTGTCTGTGACCAGGCAAAAAAAACTTTCTAAGACAAACCTTCATATCATAACCGCTAACCGCTACACACAGCCAACATCATTGTCCACATATTAGCTAGCTAACGTCATAGTCAACATAGCTACTAGATCTCGCTTTTTAAGCAGACTGAGTAGCTTACTAACTATGACAGAACCAACACAGTTTACAAGTTAAAACAATTCTACTTACAGAATCAAGCAGGATCCTTCCAAGACTATTAGTTGAAATGGACGGCCCCTAACTAGACGTCCGCAGTCGCACTAAAAATAGGCCGATGGCCTCGGGTCGAGCGCCAAGGCCTGTTCTTCCGGGAAGTCACAAAATTAATTTTCCAGGACACTCGGTTTCCTATATATAATGTTTTTCTTTTTTTTGATTATTTCTGCTGTACCGGACAATTCCACAGGGTGGCGACCCGCTGTATATGGCAAATTGACATTTCATCACCAAATGGACATGGCCGTTTCTCGTAAACAGAACAGACTTCAAAAACTTGGTGAGCAGAGGGGCGGCAAGATGTACTTTTAGCCTGGAAACAGATGACGTCGAGGCCACAACACTCTTTGAGTTAATTCACATTTTCTGGGATTAAAGGTCGAAAACGGTAATACAGCACTCATTTGTCCGCTGCACATCAAAGTACATAAACCTATCGTGTAAGGGAAAAAGAACCAGCCATTTATCTATCGTAGTTTACGAGAAATCGTACAGTCATCTTCGTGATGTTTTTTGTAGAAAAAAGTTATAGATCCAGTTGAGGCGTGTTAAGGCGAATCTGTTAAGGCAGGTTTGGAGCTCTATGTGATTTCTGTGATTTTATGTGAATTTCTTTACAGTGTCCATTTGCCATATGATATATTGCCAGTGCTAATATTTCATATTGCAATTGGAAAGACTCACACAGTCCTGTGTACTTCAAGTATTATTTTGAGACCCAAAGAACCACCCATAAGCCCAGGACACAGAGACAGCACCCATAGAGACATGCTCTAGCCTGACAACTGCTCACGCTGCCAATCAGACCTCTGAGAAAAACTCACACACACAGCCAAGATGGAGTGACACAGTGTGTGCTTACAGACGCAAGGAGCCTACAATAGATACCGGCGTTCGAACCATCAAAGAACCGTCAGACCTAGAGTTCTGAAACTTTATAAAATTGTTCTATAGCTTAGGTCGGTACTGCTCTAGGAGGTTCTCCGGCCGAGAAACAGCCTCGTCCATTTGCAATATATTCATTTCATTTTTAACATCATGAAAATGACGACATTTAGAAAAGTCCCAGAATCACAAGACTAGGTGCATTGAAACTGCCTCGGCCCTTAGAAATGGACCCTACAAGTTTCTGGTCGATTGCTCATTCAGGGACCCCATAGCAACCCCCGAAAAAAGTACATTTACAGAACTAATGAAGGTTGCTGCTCGGGCGAATGACCAATCGAGACAAAACTCAATATTCGGGTTCGCCTCAGCTAGGCCTACACATAATGTCAGAACTGGACCCGCAGCTCGAATGTCACTACATGTTTTAAGGTTTTTTATGGTTTTAACAGAAGGCGCTATACATTTTGGGCCGGCTCTGACATATGTGATAGTTGGCTTCTAAATGAGTTGGACAAAGGGAGTTTGGTGTTAGTATGTATCAGTTTGGTGTCAGTGTGATATCTTATTGACTGATGGCTGACTGTCAAATTGCAGTATAATATATTGTTATTGTCCATATGTTATATTGCTAATGGACAGTGTCCATTTGCCATATGATATATTGCCAGTGCCAATATGTTATACTGAACATATTGGCACTGGCAATATACCATATGGCAAATGGACACTGTCCATTTCCAATATGTTTAAACAGGGATTACCATCACCAAATGGACTGGCTGAAATCAACACCACTATCGTCTCTAGGCCATTCCGAGTTCAATAAGGTGCCCCACTTGACCATAGCTCGCTCGGTCTGACCGCACAGACTGTGCAAATAAGAAGGCCTGGAATGAAGCCTAACTAATAGTGATTTCAACATGCTTTTGACATTTTACGGCCTCTGGGTCATGCAGAGACACGCCGTTTTCAACTGGGGTCATCGGGGGTAGGTTGGCGTGGACAAGCCACAGAGTTATTCTAGATGCGTGTGGCGGTTCATGTGGTTGGACACATCTGAGTTTCTCCCTTAGAATAACATTGGTTTACAGGTTATGCTCTAACTCTGCTTCTGTGCATGCAATTTGCAAAGTTCCTTTTGCCACGTGTTCAGGGTCAAGGTAGCTCTACAGATATCAATATGAATAGAGTACATGGTCCCCTTCATATCCTAAATGGGAAGTATGAACTTGCAATATATCATATGGCAAATGCCATTGTAACATATTGCAATTGGACAGCAATCAAGTCAGCCATCTCATTGCTTAAAATCATCATAAACAGTCAAAGGACAGCACATTTGAATTGTATTTGTGTATAGTGTCCCAGTAGTGGACTTTATTAGTTTAAACCCTTTAACTGCATGTCCAATTCGTGATGTTATATTTGTGATGTTATACTGGACATATTGGTACTGGCAATATATCATTTGGCAAATGGACACTGTCCATTTCCAATATGTTTAAGCAGTGATTTACATTCACCAAATGGACAGATTGAAATCAACACCAACGATCGAGAGAGAGGATCCACTATCACTGCTAGGCCATCCCAAGTTCAACGAGCCAGACAATTGGGCATTTCAGCAAAGTAACAGCATGTCCAATTCATGATGGTAAATGCCCATTGTAATATATTGCTAATGGACAGTGTCCATTTGCCATATGATATATTGCCATAGGTTTGCCTTTTTGTCCATTGGCAATAAATTACTCTGCTAATTGGACAGTCCATTACACATAATACATGCCAGGCTTAACATGTTATCAGTATATATTACAATGGGCATTTACCATCATGAATTGGACATGCTGTTACATATATCAATTGGACAGTGTCCATTGCCAATGTATATCAATAAGGACTTCCCATTATGAAATGGACATGCTGAAATGAACACCAACAAGACATCCTGATTTCCTATGACTTCCTATGATCAAACATGACAGATAGACCTTCTCGGTTGATTCAGGACTTAACATACTGAGATATACCATTTGGTCATTATATAGGCCATTTGGACATGGTTCACTGACTTTTGGGTTTGGAACTGACTTCCTATGATCATAAATGGCAAATGGACATAACTTTCTGATTTAGTACTTTCAATACTTACATATGCCATTTGAACATTATATATACCATTTGGACATGGTTCACTGACTTTTGGATTCAGAACCCGACTTCCTGTGACCATATATGGCAAATGGACATAACATCCTGATTTAGTACTTTCAATACTTACATATGCCATTTGGACATTTCATATGCCATTTGGACATGGTTCACTGACATTTGGATTCGGAACCCGACTTTCTATGATCATATCTGGCAAATGGACATAACATCCTGATTTAGTACTTTCAATACTTACATATGCCATTTGAACATTATATATACCATTTGGACATGGTTCAATGACTTTTGGATTCAGAACCCGACTTCCTGTGATCATAAATGGCAAATGGACATAACATGCTGATTTAGTACTTTCAATACTTACAGTGAGGGAAAAAAGTATTTGATCCCCTGCTGATTTTGTACGTTTGCCCACGGACAAAGACATGATCAGTCTATAATTTTAATGGTAGGTTTATTTGAACAGTGAAAGACAGAATAACAACAACAAAATCCAAAAAACGCATGTCAAAAATGTTATCAATTGATTTGCATTTTAATGAGAGAAATAAGTATTTGACCCCTCTGCAAAACATGACTTAGTACTTGGTGGCAAAACCCTTGTTGGCAATCACGGATGTCAGACGTTTCTTGTAGTTGGCCACCAGGTTTGCACACATCCCAGGAGGGATTTTGTCCCACTCCTCTTTGCAGATTTTCTCCAAGTCATTAAGGTATCGAGGCTGACGTTTGGTAACTCAAACCTTCAGCTCCCTCCACAGATTTCCTATGGGATTAAGGTCTGGAGACTGGCTAGGCCACTCCAGGATCTTAATGTGCTTCTTCTTGAGCCACTCCTTTGTTGCCTTGGCCGTGTGTTTTGGGTCATTGTCATGCTGGAATACCCATCCACGACCCATTTTCAATGCCCTGGCTGAGGGAAGGAGGTTCTCACCCAGGATTTGACGGTACATGGCCCTGTCCATCGTCCCTTTGATGCGGTGAAGTTGTCCTGTCCCCTTAGCAGAAAAACACCCCCAAAGCATTACGTTTCCACCTCCATGTTTGACGGTGGGGATGGTGTTCTTGGGGTCATAGGCATCATTCCTCCTCCTCCAAACACGGCGAGTTAAATTGATGCCAAAGAGCTCCATTTTGGTCTAATCTGACCACAACACTTTCACCCAGTTCTCCTCTGAATCATTCAGATGTTCATTGGCAAACTTCAGACGGGCCTGTATATGTGCTTTCTTGAGCAGGGGGACCTTGCGGGCGCTGCATGATTTCTGTCCTTCACGGCGTAGTGTTTTACCTATTGTTTTCTTGGTGAAGATGGTCCCAGCTGCCTTGAGATCATTGACAAGATCCTCCCTTGTAGATCTGGGCTGATTCCTCACCGTTCTCATGATCATTGCAACTCCACGAGGTGAGATCTTGCATGGAGCCCCAGGCCGAGGGAGATTGACAGTTCTTTTGTGTTTCTTCCATTTGCGAATAATCACACCAACTGTTGTCACCTTCTCACCAAGCTGCTTGGCGATGGTCTTGTAGCCCATTCCAGCCTTGTGTAGGTCTACAATCTTGTCCCTGACATCCTTGGAGAGCTCTTTGGTCTTGGCCATGGTGGAGAGTTTGGAATCTGATTGATTGATTGCTTCTGTGGACAGGTATCTTTTATACAGGTAACAAGCTGAGATTAGGAGCACTCCCTTTAAGAGTGTGCTCCTAATCTCAGCTCATTACCTGTATAAAAGACACCTGGGAGCCAGAAATCTTTCTGATTGAGAGGGGGTCAAATACTTATTTCCCTCATTAAAATGCAAATCAATTTATAACATTTTTACATGCGTTTTTCTGGATTTTTTTATTGTTATTCTGTCTCTCACTGTTCAAATAATACTACCATTAAAATTATAGACTGATAATTTCTTTGTCAGTGGGCAAACGTACAAAATCAGCAGGGGATCAAATATTGTTTTCCCTCACTGTACATATGCCATTTGGACATTTCATATGCCATTTGGACATGGTTCACTGACTTTTGGAAATCGGAACCTGACTTCCTATGATCATATATGGCAAATAGACATTACATCCTGCTTTAGTGCTTTTTACATATGCTATTTGGACATTTCATATGCCATTTGGACATTATATATGCCATTTGGACATGGTTCTGTGACTTTCGGGTTCGGAACCCGACTTCCTATGATCATATCTGACAAGTGGACACTTTGCCCATTTGGAGTATAATACGTGACAAGTTAACATTTTGACCACTTGCAGTATAATATGCCTGATATGGACATAACATAGGCCTTATGGACAAACTCGCATAAAATAAAACAAATCTATATCCATACGGTTCTTTAGTAATGTATAATTGAGACAAAAGTTTTTATAATTGGTCATTTCACCCTTGAGATTTGACTTTGGTGTCCATTTGCAATATACTTTCTGACGGTGGAGCGCGCTCGCACCCGTAGGATTTTTTTATTATTACACTGGCATTTGCCATATACATTTTGCAATATGTTTTGCACCATTTGGCGCCCATTTGAGTGGTATTTGCAATGGTGTATATGTTTCGTCCAAAATGCCATTCATTTTGGTCCATTAGGCATATGCTTTCCTGTCTCAGAGCTCTACGGACAATTCCGTCGACCTCATGGCTTGGTTTTTGCTCTGACATGCACTGTCAACTGTGGAACCTTATATAGACAGCTGTGTGCCTTTCCAAATCCTGTCCAATCAATTAAATTTATCACAGGTGGACTCCAATCAAGTTGTAGAAACATCTCAAGGATGATCAATGGAAACAGGATGCACCTGAACTCAATTTCGAGTCTCATAGCAAAGGGTCTGAATACTTATGTAGATAAAGTATTTCTGATTATTATTTTTTAAATCCATTTTAGATTAAGGCTGTAACGTAACAAAATGTGGAAAAAGTCAAGCGGTCTGAATACTTTCTAAAGTCACTGTATGAACAATAGCCTAGTTAGTGACAATAGGAGCTAATACATAGATGTGTTGTCCTCTCTCTTCTCTTCTTAGCAACCAACATCAATGCTGCTGTGTTGGAGGGCACAGCCATGCTGAACCGAAACCCACGAGAGGGTTCAGCCTCCCTCCTCATACTACTCACTGATGGAGACCCAACCACAGGTACACACACACACACACGCACACACACACACACACACACACACACACACACACACACACACACACACACACACACACACATACATATACGCACACAATAATAGCCAATCTCACTTTCCTCAGGTGAGACCAACCTCGAAAAGATCCACAAGAATGTAAAGGAAGCCATTGGTAAGAAATTCCCTCTCTACTGTCTCGGCTTTGGAATGGATGTCAACTTTGAGTTCCTGGAGAAGATGGCACTGGAGAACAGCGGTGTGGGACGCAGAATATATGAGGACTCTGATGCTGCTCTGCAGCTGCAGGTAAGGGAACACACACTGTGAGGCAGTGTATTCACACTACAGTCCCTGCACTACAATGGATTTGAATTATTTCTTACAAATCTCAACATCATTTGAGACTGTAACACAACAAATGATCAAAATGGTCCCGACTGAGCTTCATTAGCTGGAATATTAAAGGGCCGAACCAACCTTTAAAATGCAATAAGATCTTATCTCATCTAAGTAGGCTTGACTGTTGTTTCCTGATTTCCTAAATGTAGATTATGTGAGAGGAAACGAGGAGGAGCAGGGGGCGGGACTAATAGCCTCTGTACTGTATGATTGACAGGGCTTTTATGAAGAGGTGGCCACACCCCTATTGACGGACGTGCAGATGGTGTATGTGGGTGGGGCTAACCTGACCCAGACCAACTTCAGCCAGTACTACAACGGCTCCGAGATCGTGGTGTCTGGTCAGATCACCGACAACAACATAGAGACGTTCACTGCAGAGGTCATAGCCATATCGGTGAGGTCACCTCTACTCAGCTCATAGGTCAGATCACTCCATACTGCCCTGGTCTTTGTTTTGTATGTTCTTTTGATTTTGAAAGCAATGCAATGTTGATAAAAAATAACATAACTCCATATGAGTACTTTAGAGATAGTTCAGCCAAATGTCAAAATGTTCAATGCACTGTAATTATTATTTTTTTAAATCAACTTAAAGTAACTGTTTCCAGATTTCTATGAAATATTACCTACTGTATAACTTACAATATGAGTGAAATCGCTTTTCTTCCAGCAGCTTTTCTGTATTGGAATAGTGTGGGTGTACCTCAACAGAATGGTGTGGGCTTATACCGGTCATTAAAAATGTCATGCAATTAGACCACTGACTGGCCAGCTCATCCTCCTGTAGACCACTGACTGGCCAGCTCATCCTCCTGTAGACCGCTGATTGGCCAGATCCTCCTCCTTAGGGAGATTACTTCATATTCTATGACGAAATAGAAAGCATTTTTGAACGGTCTGTTTGAGGTGGGGGGTTTTTCTCCAATATATGCTTTTGCCACAAATACGAGTATAGGATGAGTCAACAACATTGTTTATATATGATTTAACAGAATATTAACTTTTAAAAGTGAGATTTTTACTGGGCTTAAAAAAAATCAAGGCAACCAGTTGCATTACGATTTCCAATTTACTCTACTTAGGCAAATGTGGAAAAAGTTGAGTGAACTAGAAATTGGATAGCAGCTGGTTGCCTTGATATCTTTAGTTGACTCAACTATTTTTTGTTTTATAGTGTTAAGTCAATATTTAGTATTGTGATGCGAGTATGCCTTGATTATTTCAGAAAAGCAATAGGGTGATGTACTCTGAGACAATACCAATGGAGGAGCCCATTGAAGCCAGGCCTGACAGCCACATCCAGAGGCTGTGGGCCTACCTCACTGTGAAGCAGCTATTGGACAAAGAGTGAGTCTGCTTTGCATGGCATTGCGTCTGTGATTGGGTGTGTTTACACCTCTGTCTATACAGGTCTCCAGCCGTATGTGTCTCTATACCTGCGTGTATATGTTTGTGTACGTGTGTGCATTTGTACGACGTGTGTATTTATATGGGTTATTCCACAGAAGTCGCACAAATTGCTGTCCCTAATCAAAAAATATATTTTAAATAACAGATAAGTCTCCAAACTCATGATATATTCTAATTAATTCCAATGCAATAAACTGTTAAAAGAATACAGGACAAAACCATGTTTATACAGTATGCCTATTTCTATTGAGAGGTGTCTGTCCCCCACCCTGACTCCTAAAATTCATCTTTGAAAATAAAGCAATTCACTATTATTTTTATATAAACATCTTTCTCTGAAAAATGCTGTTCCCAGTTTTGATGTCACTACCGAAACACACACATTAAAAGACTGTAGAATGAATTTGCCTTAAGTGTCACATTGTATAATGATTCGAAGACAGGCGCAGGAATACGTATTAGGGGTTTTATTTACTCCACCCAACACAAGGTACGTCATGAAAAACTACGGGGACGAAGCCCAAAACATATATATCACAGGGATGTAACCCAAACAAAAAAGCGAGGTGTAACGGACTTGGGACAATAATTGACAAAGACAATGGGGAACAGAGGGCACATATATACACATACTAATCAGGGGAAATGGGAACCAGGTGTGCGTAATGAGACAAGACAGTCCGGGGTTGGTGGTAATGATCCAGGTCAGTGAAGCCTAGAAGCCCAGTGACATAGACCTCCGGAGATGGTAAATGGAATGAGCAGTAGTACTGGGGGGATCCGTGACATTAAGACACACCCCTACAATTAACATCAGGACATTGGATTGCACCCCTCTCCATCAAGGCCACATTGTGAGTAGTCTGTCCACCAAAATTCTGAAGAAAATAAATGCATAAGTTAGTAAATCATGCATTTTTAAGAAGTTAATCAAACATACAGTACCAGTCAAAAGTTTGGACACACCTACTCATTCAGGGGCTTTTCTTTCTTTTTACTATTTTCTACATAGAATAATAGTGAAGACTACAAAACTATGAAATAACACATATGGTGTTACGAACCCCGTGGCTTTAAAAGTCTAGGGTGGATGGAAAAGAGACCCGTAACATGACTCATGCGAATTAGAATATTGACACAGAACAGTGAGAACAAAATACACCGACAACCATAAGCTACCATCAAACACAAAATGTTTATTTTGAACACTCGGTAAACGGTTTGGGGAAAAGGGGCTGAGCTGGACCCAAGGAATGAAACAATAAAGTAAAAAAAAACTAAACTGATCTTCCTGCCTCAAGAACCGCTAAGCTTACTGCTAACCATACAAAAATACAGTGGGTGGTCTGCTCAGGTCTCACTAGTGTGTTTAGACAAGGTTTTCCTATGGGTAGTGTATGCCCAAGGGCGACTTGCTAAACCCCCCTTTTCCCAGGCACAAACAAACAACATAAGAACAATATGAACTAAACAGCAAACGAGTGAGTACACAAAAACAAGACACCACAGTATACATACTCACAAAAAATGAGTCTTGGTCAGAAAACACAACTGACTGGCTTTTAAAACCAGGGGATGTGATATGGTAATGAAAAACCAGAAACAGGTGGTGCAATACGGAGGAGTGTCCACTGATTGGTCCACCTCAGCAATCATGAGACGAACGGATGTCAGACAGGTGGGACACACCAACGACCACCAATCAGGAAAACAAGGGACACCTGTGATTAGGGCAGAAGGAGAGGAAAAACAAATACACATACAGGATACCTGTATCCGTAACATATGGAATCATGTAGTAAACCAAAAAGTGTTAAACAAATCCAAATATATTTAATATTTTAAATTCTTCAAAGTAGCCACCCTTTGCCTTGTGTCATGATCGTTATGAGATGAAGCGGACCAAGGCGCAGCGTGATAAGCGTACATTCTTTAATTGGTGTACACAACACGAACCAAAACAATAAACAAACGATACGTGAAGTCCTAGGTTAATAACACAAACCTTAACGGAACAAGATCCCACAACGTAACATGCCAACAGGCTGCCTAAGTATGGCCCCCAATCAGAGACAACGAGCTACAGCTGTCTCTGGTTGGGAACCACCCTGGCCAACATAGAAATACACGATCTAGAACGACAAACCTAGAAAACTAAACAAGGAAAAATCCACACCCTGGCTCAACATTTAAGAGTCCCCAGAGCCAGGGCGTGACAGTACCCCCCCCCCAAAGGCGCGGACTGCGACCGCGCCAACCAAACACAAGAGGGTAGGAGCCGGGTGGGCATTCCGCCTCGGCGGCGGATCCGGCTCCGGGCGTGACCACCACACTCTCTCTACCCCTCCGTTGCGCCCCTGGTCTGGTCCCTCTGGCCGGAGCTGGACTGAACACCGGTGGAGCGGATTGCTCTGGCTCCGGCGTGGAGCAGCTGACCGGTGCCGGACCAGGCACCGGTGGAACAGGCACGGACCGTGCCGGACTGACGACGCGCAACACTGGCTTGGTGCGGGGAGCAGGAACGGGCCGGAATGGGCTGACGATGCGCACCACTGGCTTGGTGCGGGGAGCAGGAACGGGCCGGACCGGGCTGACGACACGCACCATTGGCTTGGTGCGGGGAGCAGGAACAGGCCGGACCGGGCTGGTGACGCGCACCACTGGCTTGGTGCGGGGAGCAGGAACGGGCCGGACCGGGCTGATGACGCGCACCATTGGCTTGGTGCGGGGAGCAGGAACAGGCCGGACCGGGCTGGCGAAGCGCACCACTGGCTTGGTGCGGGGAGCAGGAACGGGCCGGACCGGGCTGACGACGCGCACCACTGGCTTGGTGCGGGGAGCAGGAACGGGCCGGACCGGGCTGACGACACGCACCACTGGCTTGGTGCGGGGAGCAGGAACAGGCCGGACCGGGCTGGCGACGCGCACCACTGGCTTGGTGCAGGGAGCAGGAACGGGCCGGACCGGGCTGACGACGCACACCATTGGCTTGGTGCGGGGAGCAGGAACAGGCCGGAACGGGCTGGCGACGCGCACCACAGGCTTAGTGCGGGGAGCAGGAACGGGCCTGACCGTACTGGGAACACACACCACTGTCCTTGTGCGGGAATCAGGAACGGGCCGGACCGGACTGGTGACACACACCACTTACTTGGTGCGAGGAGCGGGACTGGGTTTCCTCATAAACCTCCGCTCCCTCTGCTGCCTAACCAGTTCCTCTCGCTGTGCCTCCACACTCTCCTTCTCCCTCGTGACCAGTGGCCCCCGTAACCTGGCGGCCTCCTCTGCTAACCTGCTGAACCGCTCTATCGCAGCCTCCTGCTGCCTCGTCGTCCACGGCGTGAGCCCCCCCCCTAAAAATGTTTTGGGCTTGTCTATCCCCCGTGAACATGGCCTCCATGGCTCTCGCCAGACTCTCACTCTTCTCCTCCCAAGTCCATCCTCTCTCCTCTTCACGCTGTTTGATCCAGTCGTGATGGGATCTTCTGTCACAATCGTCGATAGATGAAGCGGACCAAGGCGCAGCGTGATAAGCGTAAATTCTTTAATTGGTGTACACAACACGAACCAAAACAATAAACAAATGATACTTGAAGTCCTAGGTTAATAACACAAACCTTAACGGAACAAGATCCCACAACGTAACATGCCAACAGGCTGCCTAAGTATGGTCCCCAATCAGAGACAACGAGCTACAGCTGTCTCTGATTGGGAACCACCCTGGCCAACATAGAAATACACGATCTAGAACGACAAACCTAGAAAACGAAACAAGGAAAAATCCACACCCTGGCTCAACATTTAAGAGACCCCAGAGCCAGGGTGTGACACCTTGATGACAGCTTTGCACACTCTTGGCATTCTCTCAACCAACTTCATGAGGAATGATTTTCCAACAGTCTTGAAGGAGTTCCCACATATGCTGAGCACTTGTTGGCTGCTTTTCCTTCACTCTGCGGTCCAACTTGAGGTCGGGTGATTGTGGAGGCCAGGTCATCTGATGCAGCACTCCATCACTCTCTTTGGTCAAATAGCCCTTACACAGCCTGGAGGTGTGTTTTGGGTCATTGTCCTGTTGAAATACAAATGATAGTCCCACTGAGCACAAACCAGATGGGATGATGTATCGCTGCAGAATGCTGTGGTAGCCATGCTGGTTAAGTGTGCCTTGAATTCTAAATAAATCACAGACAGTGTCACCAGCAAAGCACCCCCACACCATTACACCTCCTCCTCCATGTTTCACATAGGGAACCACACATGCAGAGATCATCCGTTCACCTACTCTGCATCTCACAAAGACACAGCGGTTGGAACCAGACATCTCAAATTTGGACTCATCAGACCAAAGGACAGATTTCCACCGGTCTAATGTCAATTGCTCGTGTTTCTTGGCCCAAGCAAGACTCTTCTTCTTATTGGTGTCCTTTAGTAGTGGTTTCTTTGCAACAATTCCACCATGAAGGCCTGATTCACGCAGTCTCCTCTGAACAGTTGATGTTGAAATGTGTCTGTTACTTGAACTCTGTGAAGCATTTATTTGGGCTGCAATCTGAGAAGCAGTTAACTCTAATGAACTTATCCTCTGCAGCAGAGGTAACTCTGGGTCTTCCTTTCCTGTGGCGGTCCTCATGAGAGCCAGTTTCATCATAGCGCTTGATGGTTTTTGCGACTGCACTTGAAGAAACTTTCAAAGTTCTTGAAATTTTCCAGATTGACTGACCTTCATGTTTTAAAGTAATGATGGACTGTCGTTTCTCTTTGCTTATTTGAGCTGTTCTTGCCATAATATGGACTTGGTCTTTTACCAAATAGGGCTATCTTCTGTATACCACCCCTACCTTGTCACAACACACCTGATTGGCTCAAACACATTAAGATGGAAAGAAATTCCACAAATTAACTTTTAACAAGGCACACCTGTTAATTGAAAGGCATTCCAGGTGACTAACTCATGAAGCTGGTTGAGAGAATGCCAAGAGTGTGCAAAGCTGTCATCAAGGCAAAGGGTGGCTACTTTGAAGAATCTAAAATATTTAAAAAACACTTTTTTGGTTACTACATGATTCCATATGTATTATTTCATAGTTTTGATGTCTTCACTATTATTCTATGTAGAAAATAGTAAAAATAAAGAAAAACCCTTGAATGAGTAGGTGTATCCAAACTTTTGACTGGTACTGTATGTTAAAAAATATATATAAAGTATGGTTTTGTGACTAAAATATATGTTTCTTGGGATGTACAGTACATCTGTCAAAAGTATAGCTAGCTAGCCATATGCTAGCTATGGGTATTCACTAAAGTCCAAAATACAGTAAGTTACAATTGTTAAAACTGAAATGGTCACAACCGAAACAATTTGCTTTATTTCGGTAGTGACACTTGATTGTTAATATTATTTCTTTACATTGATTGAAAATACAGTGCCTTCAGAAAGTATTTGCACAGCTTGAATTTTTCCACATTTTGTTGTGTTACAGCCTGAATTTAAAATTGATGTCACTGGCCTACACACAATACCCCATGATGTCAAAGTGGAATGAAATGTTTACAAATTAATAAAAAAAAAAAAAGCTAAAATGTCTTCAGTTAATAAGTATTCAACCCCTTTGTTATGGCAAGCCTAAATATGTTCAGGAGTAAAAATCTGCTTAACAAGTCACATAATAAATTGCGTGGACTCAATCTGTGTGCAATAATAGTGTTTAACATTATTTTTGAATGACTACCTAATCTCTGTACCCCACACCTACAATTACCTGTAAGGTCCCTCAGTCGATAAGTGAATTTCAAACACAGATCCAACCAAAAAGACCAGGGAGGCTTTCCAATGCCTCACAAAGAAGGGCACCTATTGGTAGATGGGTAAAAATATTAAAAAGCAGACACTGAATATCTCTTTGAGCATAGTGAAGTTATTAATTACACTTTGGATGGTGTATCAATACACCCAGTCACTACAAAGATACAGGTGTCCTTCCTAACTCAGTTTCTGGTGAGGAAGAAAACTGCTCAGGGATTTCACCATGAGGCTAATGGTGACTTTAAAACAGTTACAGAGTTTAATTGCTTTGATATGAGAAAACTGAGGATGAATCAACAACATTGTAGTTACTCCACAATACTAACATAATTGACAGAGTGAAAAGAAGGAAGCATGCATCCTGTTTGCATCAAGGCACTAAAGTAATACTGCAAAAATTGTGGCAAAGCAATTAACTTTTTGTCCTGAAAACAAAGTGTTATGTTTGGGGAAAATCCAAGACGACACATTACTGAGTACCACTCTCCATATTTTCAAGCATTGTGGTGGCTGCACCATGTTATGGGTATGCTTGTAATCATTAAGGACTGGGGAGTTTTTAGGATACTAAATAAACGGAATAGAGCTAAGCACAGGCAAAATCCTAGAGGAAAACCTGGTTCAGTCTGCTTTCCAACAGACACTGGGAGTGTCACAGCGACGCTAGCCACGTGAGTGAGTGCTAGCTAGCTAGCTAGCTACCAACCGGAACATTAGCTAGCTAGCCAAGACAACAACACAAACAAATGGACTATACAGCTTAATGAGTGGAGTTACAAACGGACTATTTTTACTGTTTGTTTAAAGCTAATTCCGTAATCTGTTCGATATCAATTGAGCTCCAAGCCTCACGCAACCACAACGTAGCAACATTATTTTTGCTTTGCTGTAAAAAAGGCTTTACAACTTGATTTCGTTAGAAAATACTCTCTGGGATTCATAAACATTTGTTTAGTGTTGTTTACAACGTTCCAACGTTTTAATCTAATACCTGTTTGGCACAGAATATCACGCAGCGCTTGCACCTCTTGCTCCTCCTTCGTCTTGGTGTACTTGTGGTTGTTCTTCTTATTATTGCTCTTATTAGTATTCTCATTATAATAATAAGTATTACTTATCATTATTAGACTTAGTAGGCTAGTATCTACATAAGCTACAACTGCTGCTGAGAGAGAGCAGTAAGCTATAACTGCTGCTGAGAGAGAGCAGTAGTAAAAGGTGCATAGACACGCACAGTCTTTTTCTTTAGCACAGCGTGGCAAGCCCAGCCTGCTATAAGAGATTTTTTATATTTTAGAAAAAGGCTCAGTGCTGTTATCTTCACAAGGTGAGCTATTGAAAGGCATTGAAAACAGGGGTGTCAATAATTTTGACTCCCTACCTTTTTGAGAGAAAAAAGTATTGTTAAACAAAATCTCTTTCTCTGAGCAATTGTATTAGTATAAAGTAATATAATTTTCAATTTTCAATTTTCATCTTTATCGAGGCTGTCAATAATTTCGTACCCCAATGTATGTTTTAGCACATTATTTAATTAATACCTTTGTGTGTGTGTTTCAGGGTGCAGTCGAGTGGTAAGGTGAAGGAGAAGGTGAAGAAGGAGGCCCTGGATCTTTGTCTGAAGTACGGCTTTGTGACTCCTCTCACCTCCATGGTGGTCACCAAGCCCCAGGGAGAAGCCTCACAGGTGGCCCACAAGCCCAAGGAGGGGGAGAAGCCCACCATGAGCCACCACCACCACGTAGTCCCCAGTGAGCAAAACTACCATCATCATCACACACGCACGCACAAACAATCACACACACACCACACGTACACACAAACGCGCAGGCACACACACACACACACATACTGTCTACAATAGTGAATGACAATTACTGAATGGTGTGAGTCAATGGAGTAAATAAATTAGCAAAGACTGTCAATCTAAAAACGTAACATTATAACCTACATTATAACCTATATTGAACATAAATATGTTTTCTGTCTAGCATGGGCCTCTGCAGTGCTGGCACAAGTTTATGATGGTAAGACAAATTAATAATATCATTCCAAAACGCTATATATCAATTTTCTAAAATGTCTTAGAGAGAGAGAGAGAGAGAGAGAGAGAGAGATGAGAGAGAGAGAGAGATAGAGAGAGCGAGAGAGATATATATCGATATAGAGAGGCTAGGCTAGATCTAGAGATTGGAGACGCGAGAGAGAGCGAGATATCGCTCTTCGCTCCGTCTCTCGCTATCTCTCTCTCTCGCGCTACATCAGCTCCTCCTCCCCGCTCTCTCTCTCTCTCTGTTGCCCATTAGAGGGAGCATTCACCAGATAAGACAAGGAGAATTTCACCAGATAGGACAGACTAACCTTAGCCCCCCGCACATAAACTATTGCAGCATAGATACTGGAGGCTGAGACAGGGGAGTTCGGGGGACATTGTAGCCCTGTCCGACGATACCCCCGGACAGGGCCAACCAGGCAGGACACTTAACAAACAAAACAAAACAGAGGTGGGAAAGGAGAGGGAAAACAGTCAAATCAAAAGGAATAGCAACAACAATGATTACATGCTATATCAGTGGATTCCCCCAAAAATATTTATTTAAAGAACGTTCCTTTTGTCATACCCTAGTTGCTTTTTACCGGACAAAAGAAGAAAAGGCAAGTGTGTCAAGTTCAACTGCTGTGGAAGTGTAGTGCAGAAGAAAAACACATCTCCAATGATTGAATTCTGACCAATTCTGTGATGATTTTTACAATGGCTCAAGGGGATGGGAATGGGGAGGAATTAGGGTGGCATCAAAGCTCCACTTCTTGAACATCAGTTTAGGTGTGCTCAATGTGTGATATCTTTTGTCATAGACCAGATATATGATGCTGATTATTCCCTAACACCATCTCCTGACTGGGCCATATCTCCTCAGTTGGACGTATCCCCTGACTGGGACATATCTTGTGACTTGAAAATAGGTAATTATTCCACACTTTAAAAAAATAATTGTTTGATATTTTTGTCTGTTGTGCTGTCTGACTGTGTAGAGCCCTGCTTGATTAAATGCCCTAATTGACTGAATGTGTTTGTGTATATGTCTGTATGTGTGTATGTGTGTGTTTTTTGTGTGTGTTTTTGTGTCTGTGTTTGTCTGTGTTTGTCTACAAGTGCAATGCAAAATCAAAAAAATCTGCAGTGATTGAATCCAGACCAATTTCGAATTTCCGATTCATTCTGTGATGAGTTTTACAACTGCTCCTGTCTCTCACCCACGTTAAAAAGAGATGGAGAGGGGAGGAGTAGGAATCAATGACATAGGCCTGAAGTGACTATCTTTCCCCTACATCATAGCTGCACTTTTTGAACATCAGTTTAGGTGTGCTCAATGTGTGATCACTTTTGTAATGGCTTAAATATTGATGCTGATGATGATGATTATGGCATACTATGGTTGATGGGTAATTCTTCCACATAAAAAGAAAATATTTTTTGTCTGTTTGTGCTGTCTGACTGTGTGTAGAACCCTGCCTGTTTAAATGCCCTCACTGACTAACTGGTTGTCTGTACAGTGTGTGTGTGTGTGTGTGTCTGTCTGTGTGTCTGTGTCTGTGTGTAAGATTATTTGTGAAAATGTTTCAGCTTCAAGGCATATTGAGAAAATTGATGTTAAATCTACTATCTACTCATTTCAAACTACAGGTAGAGGTAGAAGTACAACTACAACTGGTATTGTAATAACTATGTCGTTCCCAAAAAAATTTTGGGTGTCTGATTACAGTTTTTCTCAATCGCGTACAAGCACAATGTTGTCAGAAGACACAGAGGTCTGTGGAAAAACACTAAATACATTTTCAAAATGGAGTTGGCTTCCGGAAAAAGCTAATAATTTCCTCAAATCTATATAATACTCTCAGAATTGCTAATGCACTAATCATAAGAACACGACTCCCTGCAAAAAGATAACACAACCATACATACCTCTTAAATCAAGTTTACAAAACAAAAAGTTAGTCTGTCTTTTAAAAAAGCCCATTTAATCAATAGATTTTTTTTGCAGTCACTAAATCATGATGATCAAAATTCCAAATACAACTATTAAAAGGTGCAGAATTATGGGAAATGAATTACTCTCCTTTATGCATATATCACTAAACAATTTCATTTACATCAAATTAAATATTGTTCTTGATAAAAAATGAACAGAAAATAAGCACACTTTGTTCAGGATTCATTCATTGGTCCAATTCCATTAATGCTGCACACAATGTGTAGGATTCATGGAATTGTATTGTGATCATACCGATGAATGAATCATACACATTGAGGTCTGCTGACAAGTGTGTAGACTTTTCATCACAAAGCAGAAAAACAATCCCCAATAGAATAAGGACAGAGGAATACAGTGGAGGGACTGCTGAAATGAATAGATATGCCTCAATCCTCACCAAAGCAAACGTCTGTAATAGGTCACAATGTTGGAGATGATGAGTTAAGACTAACCCAAAGTTACTTTGAAGTAAAACAATTTCATTATTTGCGTCTCTGCATGTCAGCAATGATGTGAGAAATCATACATATTAGACAGTTCCTATTGCCTATATCTTTCCCTATATTGTACCTGGTTTAACACTGAAAGAGCCATTTACAATTTTATGATTGCCGGAAACGGTGAACACATTTCAGTGAACAGATTTGCCACCCTTTTTCTTCTAAGGAAAACGATTTGTAAATGTTTTATTTTGTGAACAAAACACTTTACAGTGAGTTTTGCATCCATTGATTGTATTTAAAGTTTAGCAAAATGGGGTCTAAGATACAGTTGAAGTCGGAAGTTTACATACACTTAGGTTGGAGTCATTAAAACTTGTTTTTCAACCACTCCACAAATTTCTTGTTAACAAACTATCGTTTTGGCAAGTCAGTTAGGACATCTTCTTTGTGCATGACACAAATAATTTTTCCAACAATTGTTTACAGACAGATTATTTCACTTATAATTCACTGTATCACAATTCCAGTGGGTCAGAAGTGTACATACACTAAGTTGACTGTGCCTTTAAACAGCTTTGAAAATTCTAGAAAATGATGTCATTGCTTTAGAAGGTTCTGATAGGCTAATTGACATCATCTGAGTCAATTGGAGGTGTACCTGTGGATGTATTTCAAGGCCTACCTTCAAAGTCAGGGCCTCTTTGCTTGACATCATGGGAAAATCAAAAGAAATCAGCCAAGACCTCAGAAAAAGAATTGTAGACCTCCACAAGTCTGGTTCATCCTTGGGAGCAATTTCCAAATGCCTGAAGGTACCACGTTCATCTGTACAAACAATAGTACGCAAGTATAAACACCATGGGACCATGCAGCCGTCATACCACTCAGGAAGGAGACGGGTTCTGTCTCCTAGAGATGAACGTACTTTGGTGCAAAAAGTGCAAAGGACCTTGTGAAGATACTGGAGGAAACAGGTAAAAAAGTATCTATATCCACAGTAAAACGAGTCCTATATCGACATAACCTGAAAGGCCGCTCAGCAAGGAAGAAGCCACTGCTCCAAAACCGCCATAAAAAAGCCAGATTACGGTTTGCAACTGCACATGGGGACAAAAATCTTACTTTTTGGAGAAATGTCCTCTGGTCTGATGAAACAAAAACTGTTTGGCAATAATGATCATCGTTATGTTTGGAGGAAAAAGAAGGTGGCTTGCAAGCAGAAGAACAACATCCCAACCGTGAAGCACGGGGGTGGCAGCATCATGCTGTGGGGGTGCTTTGCTGCAGGAGGGACTGGTGCACTTCACAAAATAGATGGCATCATGAGGAAGGAAAATTATGTGGATATATTGAAGCAACATCTCAAGACATCAGTCAGGACGTTAAGGCTTGGTCGCAAATGGGTCTTCCAAATGAACAATGACCCCAAGCATACTTCCAAAGTTGTGGCAAAATGGCTTAAGGACAACAAAGTCAAGGTATTGGAGTGGCCATCAAAAAGCCATGACCTCAATCATATAGAACATTTGTGGGCAGAACTGAAAAAGCGTGTGCGAGCAAGGAGGCCTACAAACCTGACTCAGTTACACCAGCTCTGTCAGGAGGAATGGGCCAAAATTCACCCAACTTATTGTGGGAAGCTTGTGGAAGGCTACCCGAAACATTTGACCCAAGTTAAACAATTTAAAGGCAATGCTACCAAATACTAATTGAGTGTATGTAAACTTCTGACCCACTGGGAATGTGATGAAATAAATAAAAGGTGAAATAAATAATTCTCTCTACAATTATTCTGACATTTCACATTCTTAAAATAAAGTGGTGATCCTAACTGACCGAAGACAGGGAATTTTTACAAGGATAAATTTCAGGAATTGTGAAAAACTGAGTTTAAATGTATTTGGCTAAGGTGTATGTAAACTTCTGACTTCAACTGTATACAATCCACGCACCAAGGCAAGAAAATTATCAGACGTTCAGAAAATGTATTTGAGAATTTCAACATTGTTGTTCTGCTACATTTGACCACAGTTCCATAAAACACTTGCACACAATTGCGAAAAATTGTAAGGTGTTCTCGGTGATTATCGCTGTTTTCTCACAAACTCCTTACCCTCTCTCTCTTTCCTCTGTCTCTCTCTCTCTCTCTCTCTGTCTCTGTCTCTCTCTCTCTATCCTTCCTCTCTCTCTCATTCGATTCCTCGAATACTACTCCCCGCTCTTTCGGGGGACAGAGCGCGAAGGGCCGCGAGCGGCAGAGCAAGGCGCGGAAGAGGCGCGGCGGCGGAAGGAGCGAGAGAGAGAGCGCGAGGGAAGAGAAAGAAGGAGCGCGGAAGAGCGAGCGAGAGCGAAAAGGCGCGAGAGGCGAGCGAGGCGCGAGAGCGAGAGGAAGGACGCAAGAGAGCGGAAGCCAGAGTGAGGGCAAGAGAGGACGAGAGAGCGAGAGCGAGATAAGGAGAGAGAGCAGATGAGAGACGAGAGAGCGAGGGGGATGAAACGAGGAGAGAGGGAGAGCGTGAGAGCGATAAGAGCGAGAGATCGTCTCGGGAAGAAGACTAGCAGAGAGCACGAGTCGCTAATTCTCTGCCTCTGTAACACCTATCTCTCTCTCTCTCTCTCTCTCTCTCTCTCTCTTCTCTCTCTCTCTCTCTATCTCTCTATCTCTCTCTCTCTTCTCTCTCTCTCTATCAGTGAGTCCTCCCCTGAGGTTTCCTGTTGCCAGCTGAGGGTCAGGGCCTGCCCACTGTGCTATGACATCCCTGTGGCTCTCTCGCTCAGACTCCTAAAGGACCCCAACAATGGTGACTTGACCTGAGAAATCAATTCACATTTTCTTCAATGCCTTCATAAATTAATTAATTAATTAATTAATTCATATATTTATTCATTCAGTTCTTGACTTGTTCACATTATCCACTCATTCCTCAAACATAGTTGAAATAATGAATGAATGGTGCTCATGTTTCACCAGAGTTGTCTATAAACGGTCAGCTTGGACAATCAGCTAGCACAGGCTACCAGAAGATTGTGATCCATTACAAAAGTGATCAACATATTGAGTTAGACACCACTGTCATCACCTTCAAGGATGGACAGAATGCAACATATTTCTCCTGGAGCCTGAAAATCAACCACAAAACAGACAGGTGCTGAATCATAGACCAACTACAGACTTTCTGATAAAAATCATTTTGTGCTATTGTTTTGTTTCTGGGATTAGATTTCTGCTTTAGCTGTTTGTGCATTGCAAGGTGTTTTAATTATAGCCTGGTTAAACCAAGGAAGTGAGACAATAGTGAGTGCAGTGTTCAGTCTGGTTTAGGTCTCAGGTATTTAATGTTGGGAACACAAGTATTGTATGGAGACGTAAATACTGTACCTCAGTGTATATTACTTAAATTGCCTATCTACATTTATAAATCTGGTCAAAATAGATCTGTCCTCTTTTTTGGTCCTATTTTTTGTCGATTGAATTGATCAATCTGAGCCATGTTATGTCACTGCCTGCAGTGTGTCTCTGATCTTACGGGACAAGGAGATGGACATCACCATAGGGTCAATACGGGTCATCATCATGCTCTACGAGGGGAATGGAATCAAGTTCCTGTGGCCCGTCCTGAGGCAGCGCCCGGCAGGAGACAACATTGTGGGTATCATGGGTAAGTGAAACATTATCAGTAACACTCCACTTCATATCCCTATGTTGTAGTCATGATATCTTCTCATTTGACTGGAGCTCGCTAGACATAGAGTTTGCTGCCATTGTAACGGGTTTAAGTCCAGGTATCTCATAGTGACAGTCTTTGTACTGTGTGTTACAGCCCGTCCACCTGTTGCTTATGAGGAGGTCCAGGGAACAACAATGAAACTTAAGATAAAGGACAAAGAAATAGACGTCTCCAGGTAAGTACAACTGTCTATCAGACAGAAACTTCATTTATAGTGATTAGACTGTTTGTAGGTTGTGTGTGTTATTACTGTGCATCTATATGAAAGATGTGTATTTAGTGTATTTGAGCTTCTATTTAGGTGATTATGATTGATCAACATGGTCTCAGGAAATTCGTATTATTCTGTACCTAAATCGGTGAAACTCCATTTAGTATGATGTACAGTATTACGTTAGGCTACATTATGAATGGAATAGTGGTCATACAATATCATACGATTTATAGGACGTATAGTATCATACGTCTTAACCGGTCGTACAATAGCATAAATCTTGGAGGATGTATGGTAATATTGTCTTTCTGTGGTTGTTGTGCCGTAACGACAAAGGAGAATTATGGGGAGAATTTATGTTGGGAAATTATGGGAACTAACGACAAACGTTAGGATAATTTACGTAAAAGGTTAGGAGAACTAAAACGACAAAGGTTAGTGGAATATTCGTGGCAGGTTAGGTGATTTTAGTAAAGTTTAGAATAACAGTTTGGGCAAGGGTGGGGCTAACTCCAACAAGCAACCTTTGGAATGCTAGACCAGTGGTTCCCAAACTGTTGGTTTGAGACCCACTTGTGGGTCTCAGCAGGGGTGCAGGTGGGTCACGGGATGACATTTGTGGTGCATTGCAAAAACATAAAAAAATAAATAAATACATTTACGAGATGGAAGAACGCTTTCAGTGTAAACCTAAAAGACTAAAACCCAAATTGAAAGTATTTAGAAAAGATAATGGACCTATATATTTTTAAATAATAGCCTATTATCTTTGGGAACTTACAATCCCCAAAATAAAAGCTAGACAATCAGGCCCCCATTGATTTTATTATAATGTTTGAGCAAAAGAACACAGCATTAGCCATGTCAACATGTGTAGAATTGCAGGAAATCATCTTAAAAATAGCAAAATGTTGTCTCATCTCCATGGCAGAATGTATAGAATTGCAGGAAAATTACTTTAAAACTGCAACAGTATCTTTCACCATGGCAAAATTTGTAGAATTGCAGGAAATTAGCTTTAAAACTGATTTTTTTTTAAAATCCGCTGCCAAGATGAGGGCCTCAAATTTTCTTGCCCAGGGCCCAGACAGAATTCAGCGCCGCAGATGACCAACCACGCCAATTGCCACGTCGCCTGCCACGCCCACCACCTAAGCCCCTTTTTGATACAGAGAAAACCCTGCATTGTAACAAATAATTTCATAACTATACGGTACATTTCTTTAAATTGGTCCCATACTCAAATCTACATTTGGTCCCATGTACAACCCCAGTGCTACTGTAGACGGTCGCGGATTAGGCCCACCCCCGATCAACCTTCTTATTTTAGTTTCTGTCTAAAGTCACTAGACCATTGGTAGGCATCATACGTCTTGGAGGTGCTCAGAAATACGTAAAGCATGTTTCGTATGGCTCTGAGGCCAGGCTTGTTTGAGTGTATGGTTCTGTGTAGCATCCACTGGAGTGTTCTGTACATGCTATTATATTAAGAATGTTGTTGCGGATTGTGTGTGTGTTGTAGGGACTCTGCTGTGGATCTCAGTGTTCGCTCTGCCCCCACCGTGGCATGCTGGTTGCTGCCTCTTCAGTCTGCCCTACAGGGGGAGCTAGCTGACTTCACCGTCACACAACTCTAACTGAACACTATACATACAGTAATTATGTTCTAGAATTAGGAAGAGCAACAATAAAGACTGAGGTTTCTTTATAGAGTTCTATGAGTTCACATAATAACACAGCTAAAATATTTTGTGACAAATTCGTTGTTGAATAAATATCATTTTATGTTTGACGGCTTCTTTGTTGCATTCCACCGTCATCAATAAATGCTGTCTTTCTGACGAAACTCAAGCGGATCAATATAGAGCTAGAAATGTATTTTTCCTGAAGGAAAATTATGTAAGAGGAGTAGCTTTCTAAAGAATAATAATAAGAAATAAGTACAATATTTAAAGTGTGACTGCTGAAGTAAGTCAAACTAACAACACAATAATTGCCACCATGAACACACACACAAACTTACACACACACACACACACACACACACACACACACACACACACACACACACATGCATGCACACACACAAACACACACACACACACAGTGGGCAGCCGGGGGGCCCAGAACCAAAGCCAGACTGTCCAGCGCTCTAGATGTAAGTAGTTGTTGGATACCAGGACCATCTGATTTATTACTCTGGTATTTATGTTGTAATATATTTCAACTTCCTCAAACTTCATTGAAACGCATACAACACTAGTGCTTGAAATAGTCTGAAGAAATGTGGAAGAATTTGAACTATTTTTTTGAAATATCCTGGGAGAGTGCCTTGAACATGTGGCCACTTGAGATAAGATAGGACAATGTGGTCATGTTATGTGTATAGTTTTGCCTTCAGCAGTACTAGATATATTTGTGTGATTCACTTATGAATGTTGTATTTAGGGACAAAAACTGGTTGGTTAGTTTCAGGTTGCCAATTTAGAATGTTGGGAGTATGACCCTGTTATTGGTTGTTTTGTGAATATTATAATAACAGATGGTAAAGTATCGCCTTTAGTACTGTAAGATTCACACATGGCACTGAAGCTATGTTAGTCCCTTTGTCCAGAAGCTTGTACAAAGTAGTAGCTACACGATTTTGCTCAACACTTACAACAACCTGCATGAACAAACACTGAAGCTTGCACAGGATAAAAGGTGGAGAGTCAGACCTTAGCATTCTCTGGGTGATAACTAGCGTTACTTGCCATTAACATCATGCAATAAACAGTGGATGTTTCAGAATTTAGGACTTTCTGGGAGTGGTCTGAGTGGTCTGAGTGGTCAGAAAACTAGCTGTTATTGGAAGAGAGGTTTGGAACTCTCTTTCTTATTTGTGTATTACAGTTTTTTTTTCAATTGCTAACACACTAAAATGACATGCACAGCACAATTATTTAAACTGAAACACAGAGCGCAAAACCTCTTCTCAAGTCTCCAAAAGTCTAAACACATTTTCTGCTTTACACACATTTTGCAATTCAAAATGGCACTTTTTAAATGCACTGCACACGGTTCTCTGCATAAGACACAACAATCTGACATAAAGTCACATGTTTGCCATTTCAAAACACTGCCATTCAAAATGACACTACATGAGCTAATTGGCCAATACATGTGCCACCTGGCCAAACACCTCAATGGTTAATTGTTACCACTTCAATCAGGAAGTAAGCACTATTAAAAGACCACAGGTGAGCACCTTTTGTTTTACAACAACAATGGAAGACGTTGCAGAGAGAGGAAGAGGAAGAGGGAGGGTGAGAATGAGAGGGGTAGGAAGAGTGAGAGGTAGGGGTAGAGCTGGTAGAGGAGTTCATGGCCAAAGAAGACAACAACTTTCAAATGAAATCAGAGCAACCTTAGTTGATCATGTCATCCACCATGGGCTGACAATGAGAGAGGCTGGACAGAGAGTACAGCCCAACTTGAGCCGTTTTACTGTCGCCTGTGTCATCCGGACATTTAGACTGGAGTACAGGTATGTAACCAAAATGTATTTCACACTATGTAGTACACCCCATGTCATAGTGTATCAGTTGGGTGACACCTGTTTACTTCATGAATGGCTGATGTCATACACTAACTGCACAAGTTTCCTGTACAATTTACTCTACTGTGGGGGAAATATCTTTAGGCTGCATTGTCCAAGCCCTATATTTTAGTTTATTTGTTTTTCTAAAGGACTGAGACAACCATGGTGGAGGAAGGGGCCAAATGTACACCGGGGTACAGGAAGCTGCCAATGTAAACTTGGTTTTGGAAAATAATGAAATCAGATTACGAGAAATTCAAAGCCACATCATCCAAGACAACACCATATTCAACAACATTCAACGAGTCAGTCTGTCCACATTGGCTCGCATTCTCAAGCGAAACCAAATCAGAATGAAACAACTTTATAAGGTGCCGTTTGAGAGAAACTCTCAAAGAAACAAAGAGGTCAGACGAGCATATGTGGATGTAAGTACAATATTGACTGCAGTATACTACACGCAACATTGTTTCCCAGTGTACTGGATAACACCATATTGACTGCTTTTGTTCCTTGTTTTCAGGGAGTACTGGAAATGGATGCTCATGCAATCCCACATGAGTTCATCTTTATAGATGAGGCTGAGTTCAACCTAGCAAAGACCAGAAGAAGGGGGAGAAACATCATTGGCCACAGAGCCATTATAGATGTTCCTGGCCAACGTGGTGGGAAAATCACAATGTGCGCTGCCATCTCCAATACGCATGGTGTCCTCCACCGTCATGCCAACGTTGGACCATACAACACAGCCCATATTCTCACATTTCTGGACAGACTCCACAGCATTCTCATACCACCAGAGCGTATGAATGATGCAGACCATCAAAGAACCCGGTACGTTGTAGTATGGGACAATGTGAGCTTTCATCGTGCAGCCCCAGTCCAAAACTGGTTTGCTGACCACCCACCATTTTTCGTGCAATACCTCCCACCATACTCACCATTTCTGAACCCCATAGAAGAGTTATTTTCAGCATGGCGGTGGAAGGTATACGACCGGCAGCCCTTTGTGCGCATGCCTCTTGTGCAGGCTATGGAAGAGGCATGTGATGAGATTGATGTGGGTGCGATTCAGAGATGGATAAGGCACTCAAGGCGCTTCTTCCCTCGATGTCTGGCAAGGGAAGATATTGCCTGTGATGTGGACGAGCCGTTGTGGCCAGACACAGCTGTGCGGCAAGATGCTGCCTAATTATTTTTCTTGCCTATTTTTTTTTTCTATATATTTTTTCAGCACATTTTTTCTGCAATTTTCTTTTTCAGTTTACTGTTTTTTGTGAGGATATTTTTGTTCAGTCCAATGTGAATATATCTGCTGTGCATATGTTGCACTGACTTGTTTGGTGACAAATACAAACATAAGTGTTTCAACAGCATGTGTGTGTATCTGCAAATATTTCTGTGCATGTGAACAATCTGAAGAATTTTCTACAATTTGAACTATTTTAGTATTATGGCAAAGCACACTAAAGATGAGAGTGCTTTTCATTATGCCCAACAGTGTGTAGTTGGTTAGACAAAAATCTGGTAATATGAATGAAGTGTGTGCCATTTCGTGCAAACGTTTGATTTTGATAATGCTATATGTAGTTTTGGTTGCAGTGCTTCATTTTGCAGGTACTTTGCAGTTTGGGTGTGTGGTTTTGTGAATTGTGTTAAGTATTTTGACAAAACCAGCCTAGTTTGCAAAATTGTGTTTTAGCAATTGGGAAAAACTGTAACTAATTTACCACCTAGTCACCAGGCAGGCCAAAACTCCATCAGACCAAAATAGGCTGAAATTCCAGGCAGTGTTTTCAAACAGCTGCTCCGGTCAACTATAAGTGCTGTTATTATGAAGTGGAAACGTCTAGGAGCAACAACGGCTCAGCCGCGAAGTGGTGGGCCGCACAAGCTCACAGAACGGGACCGCTGAGTGCTGAAGAGCGTAGCGCGTAAAGATCGTCTGTCCTCGGTTGCAACACTCACTACTGAGTTCCAAACTGCCTCTGGAAGCAACGTCAGCACAATAACTGTTCATCGGGAGCTTCATGAAAAGGGTTTCCATGGCCGAGCAGCCGCACACAAGCCTAAGATCACCATGCGCAATGCCAAGTGTCGGCTGGAGTGGTGTAAAGCTCGCCGCCATTGAACTGGAGTGATGAATCACGCTTTACCATCTGGCAGTCCAACGGACAATTTGGGTTTGGCGGATGCAAGGCAAATGCTACCTGCACGAATGCATAGTGCCAACTGTAAAGTTTGGTGGAGGAGGAATAATGGTCCGGGGCTGTTTTTCATGGTTCGGGCTAGGCCCCTTAGTTCCATTGAAGGGAAATCTTAACTCTACAGCATACAATGACATTCTAGAAAATTATGTGCTTCCAACTTTGAGCAACGGTTTGGGGAAGGCCCTTTCCTGTTTCAGCATGACAATGCCCCCGTGCAGAAAGTGAGGTCCATACAGAAATGGTTTGTCGAGATCGGTGTGAAAGAACTTGACTGGCATGCACAGAGTCCTGACCTCAACCCCATCGAACACCTTTGGTATGAATTGGAATGCCAACTGTGAGCCAGGCCTAATAGCCCAACATCAGTGCCTGACCTCACTAATGATCTTGTGGCTGAATGGAAGCAAGTCCCCGCAGCAATGTTCCAACATCTAGTGGAAAGCCTTCCCAGAACAGTGGAGGCTGTTATAGCAGCAAAGGGGGGACTCCATATTAATGCCCATGATTTTGGAATGAGATGTTCGACGATCAGTGTCCACATACTTTTGGTCATGTAGTGTATATATAAAACACAGGATAATCATGTTTTTGACTGCACTAGGCCTTTAAGTATGGTTTTGGAGGGTTAATGCATGAGATGTACACAGTAACATATGGCATTTATGGATATTAGAGGCAGCTATGATATGTGATTTATTGCAGGACCTAAGCAAGTAGACTGCTGTAAATACAATGCAATACCCATTGGGTAAGATTCACGTTTCATACTGTATCTTTGGGGTTTAAATATGATTATTTAAAAAAGTAATAATGTTCAATAAGGAGTTTCATCATAGTTATAATCTGTATCATAAGCAGAGGAGGCTGTTAGGAGCTATAGGAGGACGGGCTCATTGTAATGGCTGGAATGGTATCAATGGAATGGTCCCAAACACATCAAACACATGGAAACAAAGTGTTTGACTTTGTTCCATTTATTCCATTCCAGCCATAACAATGAGCACATCCAGTAACACTTTATTTGGATAGTCCATCTGTAGATGCTCCACAGACTATCTATA